CGTCGTCGTCGTCGTCGTCGTCGTCGTTGTCGTCGTCGTTCGTCGTTGTCGTCGCTCGTGGTTCGTCGCTCGTCGCTCATCGTCGTCGCGCGCGCGGACGCTGCTGGAGCCTGTTTTTAAGTCCGGGCCGATGACGGCAATCATCTTGGGAGGGGAGGGGGTCGACGACGTCGCGTTTCGCGCCGGCGACACTTGGGAATGGTTAGGAAGGACGGGGGGCGGGTATCACGAACATGTAGGTGGCGATGTACCGCACAACGCCTGTGTACATCACAGCGCCCGCGTGCACCGCGGCGCCTGCGTGCGCCACGCCGCCGATGTGCACCACAGCAGCCGCGTGCAACACAGCGCCAGTTTGCGCCGCCGTGCCTGCGGGCACAGCAACTCCTGTGTACACCGCGGCGCCTCCGTGCACCACATCAGCCGTGCGCAACACAGCGCCAGTGTACACCACAATGCCTGCGTGCATTGCAGTGCCTGCGTGCGCCGCGGCGCCTGCGTGCACCGCATCAGCCGCGTGCAACACAACGCCATTGTTGCGCATAGAATTTCAGAAGTAATCTTTGTGACAAAATGGAGCGCGCGCGGATTCCAGAGAAAACAATGGAGAACAACCCTCATGGAAAAAGGAGCGCCGCTGGAATCTACGAGCCCCCCCGGGTCCGCCCGCATCATCCTAATTCCTCTTTGCGTCCAGGGGGCTCCAGCTAAAGTGGCCGTCCGAGAACCAAGTGGACCGATTCAATCGGTCTTTATGCGGCGCACGCTGCGATGCGCACGTGCGTTGCAACGCCAAGCCGCACGACAGGGGGTAAGAAGGAGGAGAAGGAGGACGCGGAGGCGGAGGAGGAGGAGGAGGAGGATGTGGAGGAGGAGGGAGGAGGGAAAATCGTCGCATTCGATTATCAGAACTTTCCTGGCGTGGCGTGTAGTTGTCCGCATCAGATCCTGACGTACATGTTCCTTCTACCTGTCCTACGCACGCAGGTGCTGTGGTGTGCACCAGCGCTGCGTTGCACGCAGATGCTGTGGTGTAGACAGGCGCTGTGGCGTGCGCAGGCGCTGCGGTGCACGCAAGCACTGTGGCAGTACACAAGCGTTGTGTTGCACATGGCTGCTGCGGTGTATGTACACCGGCGCTGTAGTGCTCCCAAGTATTGTGGTATACGCGGGCGGTGCGTTGCACACGGCTGTTGCGGTGTACGCAGGCGCTGTGGTGCACGCGCGCGGTGCGGCGCACGCGAGCGCTATGGAGTCCACAGGCGCAGTGGGCAGATCGCCACTTACGTGCTGCTCGCGTCGTCGTCGTCGCTCGTCGACGGCGCTGAAATCCCAAGAGGGCCCCAAGACGGCCCAAGAGCCGCCCAAGACGGCCCAAGAGGCTCCCAAAAAACGACCGCTATCGGGCCCGAGCCTTTTCAGGGCTCGGACGCGAGAGGCCCCCAAACTCGCCCAATAGGCCTCCGAGATGGCCCAAGGACAGCCCGAGAGGCCCCCAAGACGACCCCAAGAGGACCCCAAGACGGCCCAAGCTTCCAAGACGCCCAAGATGGCCTCCAAGACGGCCCCGAAGCCCCAAGAGAGCCCCAAGACGACCCAACAGCCGCCCAAGACGGCCCAAGAGGCCCCAAAAGGACGACCACTATCAGGCCCCAGCCTTGTTCAGGGCTGGGACGCGAGAGGCCCTCTAGATCGCCCAAGAGGCCTCCAAGGTGGGGCCAGGGCGGCCCAAGAGGCCCCCAAGACGGCCCAAAAGAGGGCCCCAAGACGGCCCAAGAAGCTTCCAAGTCGCCCAAAAAGGCCTCCAAGACGGCCCTGAAGCCCCAAGAAGGCCCCAAGACGACCCAAGAGCCGCCCGAAACGGCCCAAGACTTCCCAAGAGCCGCCCAAGACGGCCCAAGAAACGCCCAAGACGGCCAGAGGGTGCCGAGCAGCCAAGGAGCGCGCCCCCAAGACATGCCACGGACACCTCTCTTTTTTTCTTTCTCTCTCTCTCTCTCTCTCTCTCTGTCTCTCTTTCTTTCTTTCTGTCTGTCTCTCTCTCTCTCTCTCTCTCTCGCTCTCTCGCACCCATGAAGCGCGCGAGCGAGACTGACTGGACTGACTGGACTGGGCGTATATGTTCGGAGGACAGTGCATTCTCGGCGAACCAGGGCGCAACCTATGGGGCCACCAATAGGAAACGGTTTTCGTTTCGGCGGCCGAAGGCGCAACCTATGGCGCAACCAATAGGAGGACGTTTGATTCTCGGCGGCTCTGCGTCACTCGAAGCCGCGCCTGTCGGCCCTCATCCGCCTCCATGGTAAGGGGGCGTGCGGCTCCCTACCTTCCGTCCATCATGGTCATGATCGCCATCGTCTCGTCCTCCTCATCCGCATCCTCCTCGTCCTCCTTGTCATCCTCGTACTCGTCGTCCTCCTCCTCCGCCTCGTCTTCCTCCTCCTCCTCCTCCCCCTCCTCCTCCTCCTCTTCCTCCTCCTCCTCCTCCTCATCATCATCATCATCAGCATCGCCCTCTTCCTCCTCCTACTCGTCCTTGTCGTCATCATCGCCGCCCGCCTCATCGTTTTCGTCCTCCCCCTCCTCTTCCTCATCCGCCTCCTCGTCTTCATCAAATGGATGGTAGGGGAGCGTGCGGTCCCCTACCTTCCGTCCATCATGGTCATGTTCACCATCGCCTCGTCCTCCTCATCCGTATCCTCCTCGTCCTCCTCGTACTCGTCGTCCTCCTCGTCCCCCTTCTCCGCCTCGTCCTCCTCGTCGTCGTCCCCGTTCCTCCTCATCATCGTCCTCCTCCTCGTCCTGCTCCTCCTCATCCTCGTCCTCCTCTTCATCCGCCTCCTCGTCCTCATCAGATGGATGGTAGGGGGGCATTCGGCCCCCTACCTTCCATCCATCATGGTCACGGTCACAATCGCCATCCTGCTCCGGATCCTCCTCACCGTCCTCCTCGCCTTCCTCGTCATCCTCGTCCTCCACCCTCTTTTCCTCCTCCTGCTCCTCCTCCTCTTCATTCTCCGACTCCCCCCTTCTCCTCCTACTCCCCCTCCTCGTCCTCCTCGTCGCCCCCCTGCTCTTTCTCTTCCCCCTCGCCCTCCCTCTTCGCCAGTTCGCCCCCTCAACCACTCCGCGGGCTGCTGGGGTCGCGGCAGCACCAGGAGGAGGAGGAGGGGGAGGGGGAGGGGGAGGGAGAGGAGGAGGAGGAGGAGAAGGAGGAGGAAGAGGAGGAGGAGAGGAGGAGGAGGAGGAGGAGGAGGAGGAGGAGGAGGAGGGGAAGGAGGAGGAGGAGGAGGAGGAGGGAGGAGGAGGAGGAGGAGGAGGAGGAGGGGGGGGGGGAGGGAGGAGGGGAGGGGGGAGGGGGAGGAGGAGAGGAGGAGGAGGAGGAGGAGGAGGAGGAGGAATACGGATGCGCACGCTCGTTCGACGTCGTGAGATTTACGCGACCACGATGGTCGAGCGTGAGGGGCGAGCATGGCTGAGGAGAGTGTGGGTGGGTGGGGGGTGGGGGGGGGGGGGGTGGGGGGTGGTGGGTGGGTGGGGGCGGTGGTGGGTGGGTGGGGGGGGGGGGGCGAGCGCGGGGGCAGAGTGTGAGTGGCGAGTGCTACGTGCGAGCGTGGGCGTAGAGTGCCGAGGTCGAGTGTGGGGGGCGAGTGCGTTGGCCGAATGCGAACGGCGAGTGCGGAGTGCGAGTGTGGGGCGCGAGTGTGTGCGCGTATAGCGTGGGCGTAGGGTGCGGGGGTCGAGCGCGGGGGGCGAGCGCGGGGGCCGAACTCGAGGGGCGAGTGTGGAGTGCGAGTGTGGGGCGCGAGTGCGTGCGTAGAGCGTGGGCGTAGAGCGTGGGCGTAGAGCGCGGGGGTCGAGCGTGGGTGGCGAGTGTGGGGGCTGCGTGCGAGGGGCGAGTGTGGAGTGCGAGTGTGGGGCGCGAGCGTGCGCTTAGAGCGCGGGCGTAGAGCGCGGGGGCCGAGCGCGGGGGGCGAGCGCAGGGGCCGAGCGCGAGGGGCGAGTGTGAAGTGCGAGTGTGGGTCGCGGGTGTGTGCGTAGAGCGTGGGCGTAGAGTGCGGGGGCCGAGTGCGAGGGGCGAGTATGGAGTGCGAGTGTGGGGTGCGAATGTGCGCGTACAGCGTGGGCGTAGAGTGCGGGGGTAGAGTGCGGGGGGCGAGTGCGGGGGCCGAGTGCGAGGGGCGAGTGTGGAGTGCGAGTGTGGGGCGCGAGTGTGTGCGTAGAGTGTTGGCGTAGAGTGCGGGGGCAGTGTGCGGGGGTCCTGTGCGGGGGCCGAGTGCGAGGGGCGAGTGTGGGGTGCGAGTGTGGGGCGCGAGTGTGTGCGTAGAGTGCGGGCGTAGAGTGCGGGGGCCGAATGCGGGGGTCGAGTGTGGGGGCCGAGTGCGAGGGGCGAGTGTGGAGTGCGAGTGTGGGGTGCGGGTGTGTGCGTAGAGCGTGGGCGTAGAGTGCGGGGGTCGAGTGCGGGGGTCGAGTGCGAGAGGCGAATGTGGAGTGCGAGTGTGGGGTGCGAGTGTGTGCGCAAGGCGTGGGCGTAGAGTGCGGGGGCCGATTGTGGGGGTCGAGTGCGGGGGCCGAGCGCGAGGGGCGAGTGTGGAGTGCGAGTGTGGGGTGTGGGTGTGTGCGTAGAGCGTGGGCGTAGACTGCGGGGGCCGAGGGGTCGAGCACGGGGGCCGAGCGCAAGGGGCGAGTGGGGCGTGCGAGTGCAGGGCGCGAGTGTGTGCGTCAAGTACGGGCGCTAGTGTGGGCGTCGAGTGCGGTGCGTTTCGGGCCCCCACTTAGTGCTGCCCCCCCAGGCATACCCAAACCAAGATGGTAGCGGTGCTTTGCAGCGTCGGACGACGTCGCCGCCAGTCCCCACTCCTCGCCATTTGGTTCAGCGCTGGCATCTTATTCGCTGTCGCCGCCAAACCTGGGCAAAGACGAAGCGCGGGGCCGAACGAGGCGCAGGATTCGCTTCCCTGGGGAAAGCCAACAACACCTGACAGCCAAACTTGGGAAACCTGGCCGGCCCCGACACTTCGAGTTCGCCAGCCGCCTCGCTTGGCCGCGCACGAACTTCGCGGCCCCCCAGCGCGCGTAGGTCATGGCCTCAGCCTGCGTGGGGTCAAAGAAGGCTTTGACGACGCGAGGCCGCTGATCTGCGAGGTCGCCGTCATCGAGGGCGCAGGGCGCCCAGGGCTCCCCGACCTCCCCGCGGAAGAACTCCATCCCTGCGGAAACCCGAACAGCAGCCTTGGCACGACCTGGGTGGCTTTCATTAGCGACGTCTGCATTGTGCCTCGCAGTCGCCATGGCAAGGATGTAAATTATGGGGTGCCTTCCCGAAGCCAGCCTCCCCGATCGTATGCATCGTGTTGCACGTCAGCGTTTGCAAGGTCCTGTTCGTCATCGGCTGGTATTCCTTGCGGACGTTTCTCTTTAGGAGCGGGTGGTAATCCTCCTTGGTCGCGAAATGGTCGCGGTCCGCGATGCACTTCAGCAAGCTGTTCACAAACTCCCGCTTCATGTGGCCGACGGGGGAGTCAGGATCCACGTACTGGTGCTCCAACCACAGGACCCTCTGGCCGTCGAAATTTCCGCGGGGGGCCTCCGCCTGCACGAAGTCCCACGCTCTGTCGAGGGCGGTCTTCTTCTGCCTTGGGCTTCGGCGGCCCCCAATAGCGGAACAGCAACCCATCCATCGCCTCCAAGACCACGTGCGTCGTCCTGCAAATCAGCATCCTCCTCCTGCTCCTCATCATCATCCTCATAATCATGCAAATGAAGATGATGAGAAATGCGATGGGGATGATGATGAGGATGACGGGCCCAGGGGGTGTGTATATATATATATGTATATATAGATATATGGTGCTCTGTTTGGTGCATGGTTTGGTCTCTCCCTCGCTCTCTCTCTCTCTCTCTGCTTTCTTTTTTGTTTTCTCTCTCTCTCTCTCTCTCTCCCGCTCTCCCCCCACACACACACGCACACCGCGCGTGCATCAATAACCGCGCCACAAGGGACGGAACGAACTCATAGATCCGAGACCGCTCGCTGCCAAGCCGCTCAAATGAGGAAACAGTTAGCGAATGCTCGTGCGCAACAGAAGTGCGACGCACACACACACACACGTGCTCTTCCCTTGGCAGCAAGTGTCCGTGGATCCAAACTGGCGGAATCCAACGACTGGCGGCCGCAGGCAGGGAAGAGAAGCAAGACAGCGCGGAGAAGGCGAGATTGTGTTGACCTCGCCGTCAAGCAGTGCGGGCAATTGCGGTGGGTGCGGGGAGGGCGGGAGAAATCGTGCGCGCGCACCCTCGCGTTGTCCTGCTTGGATGCCTGCGGGAAGCTGCGACATCGGGCCACGGTGAACATTTGTAACAAATCGGCAGCAACGTGTACAGACGTGCTCTCCGACCAGAATCGCAATACCAATGATGGGTCTGTTCTCCACCACCGCCACCATAAGTTGAGGGGGGAAGGAGGTGGAGTACGAAGAGGAGGAGGAAGGAAAAGGAAGGGGAGGACCCCCTCCCCCCTCCAACTAATGGTGGTGGTGGTGGTGGTGGAGGAACACAAATCCATTAACCAATAATCCCACCAGCCCTCTGGGCGTAGGTGGTTTTGGGAATTTCCTCTTCCACCCCTCCTTCATCCCCTTCGGGAGGTGTTTACCCCTCCCCCTAACCCCCTCCCCTGGACTTGGACAGGGGGGGCCGCTGGTAGTTAGAGCGTCCAAGACGGCCTCGGCGAGGAAGCCAAAAGCATCGGTTAGACTATGGTTTTGGCACAATTTTGGCCTCTTGGGGGGGGCAGGGCTAATTAACCCCACCCTCTTCTTTGATCGATCTCCTCCAAGATGGCCCCAAGAGGCGCCCAGGAGGCCCCAAGAGGCGTCCAAAAGGCCTCCAAGAGGCCCCAAGAGGCCGCCATGAGGCCCCAAGAAGCCCCCAAGAGGCTCCAAGAGGCTCCCAGGATGGTTCCAAGAGGCCTCCAAGAGGCTCCAAGAGGCCGCCATGAAGCTCCAAGAGACCCCCAAGAGGCCCCAAGAGGCCTCCAACAGGCCCCCAAGAGCCCCCCAAGAGGATCCCAAGCGGCCTCAAGAGGCCCCCCCGAAGCACCCAAGACGCCCAAGACCCCCCATTGACCGCCAAGAGACCCCCAAGACGTCCGAAGAGGCTTCCAAAAGGCTTCCAAGAGGCATCCGAGCGGCATTCAACCATCCACCCAGCGTCATCATTCTCCTCATCCCTCCTTCGCTCGGTTCCTCGCCACCCCCTCATCTATCCATCTGGCCTCCTTTTCCGCCTCATCCTTTGCACGGATCGGCTGTCCCTCTCATTGCTCCCCCACTTCCCTGATCTCTTCAACTTGCCTGGACATCGTTTCTGGATGGGCTGGTGGGGACACGCGAAGCGTCAAGAATTCATGTAATCAAATTTCGACCCGCACATGGATGTGACGGATGAACGACACATGATGCTCCATACATCCCGAAACACTTTCGAAACCGCATTCCTCCTCCTGGAATGCCATCACAAACCCAAAGGTACAACCAAATGCTGTCACACGAAGGGTACCCCGGGGGAGGATGGGAAATGAGGCGGGAATAGAGAAAGAGAAGGCGCCATGGAAAATCCGGGCTCCATCGTCTACATCGCTGAGGCTGCGGCCTGCTCCTCGTCCGTGCCCGCCAGCTGCATCCCTGCAAACGGGGAGGAAGACAGGGAAGGAGGAAAGAGAAGGAACGAGTGAGGGGGGAGAAGGGAGTTTAAGGAGGGGGAGGTAGGACGAGGAGGAGGAGGAGGAGGAGGAGGACGAGAACGACGATAAGGAGGAAGACGACGGATGAGGAAGGGAGGAGGGGGAGGGAGGGAAGAGCAACCATGGACGATGGAGCAGGGGAGGAGAGTGGAAGGAAAGTGAAGGACTGAGGAAGGGAGTAAGGGAGGAGGGAGGAGGAAAAGAGGAGACAAGGTTACGTGAGACGAGTAACAGGCGCTGGTGTTGTGCAAGGGATGGGCCATGGAAGCAGTGGCGATGGCGCCGTGACAACAGCCCTCGGAACAAAGGCGCTGCGACTTTGCAGTCATTGTCCGCGCGGCTTTTCTGAATTTCCAGCCACACGTTCTCGGTCGAGAGCCATACACAATGTGTGTTGACTGCTGCGCTGTCGCGCTGGTGTCGCCCAACTGTTGAATCGAGGCCGACATTTACTGTGGCTTTGCAGATGTGCTATATCGACATGAACCCGATCCGTGACGTGTCTATCTAATACACGCTGCCCAACCAAAGACCACATGAACCCGTGACAGCCCACCTATTGCCTCACTGAGCTCCATGGGAGCTCCTCGCGAAGTGAAGACGAAAGGTGTCACGCGTAACGGGCTTCCTCGCCCTCCTCATCCTCGTCCTCCTCCTCCTCGTCCTCAGCACGGCTCTTGCAAGCCTGGTGACACCAGGTGTCACACAAGACGGCCTCCTCTGCCTGTCGAGCAGTCTCCACCAAGAATGCTGGGCTGGCATGGTTGCGGGACTAGTCGCAACCAGCTGGGTACGCATATACACGATTAGTTCCCCAGGCAATGCTTGCACATAGGGGTTATTCTTATTTCTCGTCTACAGAACTGGGCCTGCCTGTCGGTCTGGCGGCTGTGGTGTTGCCGTGGCCGCCTCGTGGCACCCCGCAACGGGGCCTGGCTATCGTTTTGGTGAATATGATGTCGCCGTCGACGCCCCGTTGCCGCCGTCGCCGCGCGCGCCCCGTTGCCGCCGTCGCCGCGCGTCGCCGCCGTTAGATTGCACCACGTAGATAGCTTGGCGTTGTTTTGCATTGAGCCGGGTTGCTTTGCATCGCTTTGCATTGCATTGCGTCGCTTAGCATTGGCTTCCAAAGTATAGTACCGCGCGAATTGCACAACATACTGCGCCACATATTTCGCAACACGCAGATCGAACAACACACATTCTCCTTCTCTACAAAGAGAATAGGCTCTACCCCCTCGGCGTTATCCGCCCCCCGTTCGGGTATGCAAATCACATATGATTCTGACCAGATGTCCATCCTAAATATGAATTATACACTATCCCAGGAGAACAGGGATCGGCCCCCTGAGCTTCCCTTTTAAAAACGATACGCGGGGACACCGTTTGTTCTAACATCACACTGTTTCGCGACTCCCTTGCCAAAAAAAAAACGAAGTGCACACGCGCGCGTCGTCGCACGCGCATGCCGAAATCCTCGAAAAACCTTCGGCGTTGGAAGGATTTCGCAATCGAGTTTCCAAAAAACATACAAAACCACATGGCCTCGCAACACTGATCTGCCAAAAACGCTTACGCGCGAGCTCTTGCGAATTCGTGAGAAAACTATGTGTTTGCTGTTTTTTTAAAGTTTCACAAAATGCTACCAAACGGGCTTCGCGCGCGCACATATCGAAATCTGTCGAACGCCCTTGCGCGTGTGCCGTCGCGAGAACTCTCTGCAAAAAAAGGACGAAGTGCAGACGCGCGCGTCGTCGCGCGCGTATGCCGCAATCCTTCAAAACCCATCGGTTTAGGAAGGATTTCAAAATTGTGTGCGCCAAAAACCTGCAAAAACACAAAGCTTAACAACACGAATTTCAACAAAACCGTGCACGCGCGCTCTTGCGTCGTCGTCGTCGCCGTCCTCCCTCCTCCCGCGTCGTCGTCGTCGTCGCCTACGTCGTCTTCTGTCTTTCCTCGTGTTCGTCGTCGTCGTCGTCGTGTTCATTGGCGTCATGGTCGTTTCCGTCGTCGTGGTCGCCGTGGTCGTCCTTCCTCTTCCTCCCTCGTCGTCGTCGTCGTCCGTCGTCGGTGTCTCGTCGTCGTCTCTCCTATTTCGTCGCCGTCGTCGTCGTCGTCGTCGTCGTTGTCGTCGTCGTCGTGTTCCCTCCTCCCTCGTCGTTGTCGCCGTCGGGCGTCGTCGTCGCCACCACCGTCGTCGGTGTCGTCGCCGTTGTCGGCGCCGTCATCGTCGTCGTCGGCGTCGTCGTCCTCGGCGCCGTCATCGTCGTCGTCGTCGTCGTCGGCGTCGTCGTCGTCGTTGTCGGCGTCGCTGTCGTTGTCGTCGTCGTCGAAGTCGTCAGAGACGTCGCCGGTGTCGTCGTAGTCGTCGGCGTCGTCGTCGTCGACGTCGCTGTCGTCGTCGGTGTCGCTGCCAAGTGCCAAGTGGTACCTACCGCCACTGTCTCAAGAGGTTTTGCAAACCAAGTTGCGGGTGGGTGGGTGGGATGTTTGCAAGAGCATGGGATGTGTCAAATCATGGGTAAGAATCAATTCTCCTTTCTAAAAAAAATTGACTCTACCCCCCCCCCCCGGACTTATCGGTTCCCCTTGGAATAATCGGATTTCATACATATATATATATATATATATTCTGCACACTCGTCCATCCTAAATCTGAAATCATACTATCCCAGCTAGGCCGGATTCCCCCCCCCTAAGGTTCCCTTGTAAAAAATATGCGGTGACATTTTTTGTTCGAACATAGCGCTTTTCCACGAATCCCTTGCCAAAAACGAGACGAAGTGCACACGCGCGCGTCGTCGCGCGCGCATGCCGAAATCCTTCAAAAACCTTCGGTGCGGGAAGGATTTCGCAATCGAGTTTCCAAAACAAATGCAAAAACACATGGCTTCGCAACACTGGTCTGCCAAAAAAGCTTACGCGCGAGCTCTTGCGAAATCTTAAGAAAAACCATAGGTTTTTCAAGATTTTGACAAAATGTTACCAAACGGGCTTCGCGCGCGCATGTCGAAATCTGTCGGTTCAAAAAAAACTACAAAAACCCAAGGTTTCGCAACACGGACTTTCAACAAAAGCGTGCGCGCGCGCTCTTGCGTCGTCGTCGTCGTCGTCGTCGCCGTCCTCCCTCCTCCCGCGTCGTCGTCGTCGTCGCCTACGTCGTCCTCTGTCTTTCCTCGTGTTCGTCGTCGTCGTCCTCTTTGGCATCGTGGTCGTTTCCGTCGTCGTTATCGCCGTGGTCGTCCTTCCTCCTCCCCCCTCGTCGTCGTCGTCGTCCGTCGTTGGCGTCTCGTCGTCGGCCCTCCTATTTCGTCGCCGTCGTTGTCGTCGTTGCCGTCGTCGTCTTCCCTCCTCCCTCGTCGTTGTCGTCGTCGGCGTCGCCGCCCTTCCTCCTTCGTCGTTTGCGTCGTCGCCGTCCTCCCTCCTCCCTCGTCGTTGTCGTCGTTGTCGTCGTTGTCGCCGTCGTCGTCCTTCCTCCTCCCTCGTCGTCGTCTTCGTTGGCGTCGTCGTCATCGTCTTCGTCGTCGTCGGCGTCCGCGTCGGTGTCGTCGTCGAAGTCGTCGGAGACGTCGTCGGTGTCGTCGTCGTCGTTGTCGTCGTTGTCGTCGTTGTCGTCGTTGTCGCCGTCGTCGTCCTTCCTCCTCCCTCGTCGTCGTCTTCGTTGGCGTCGTCGTCATCGTCTTCGTCGTCGTCGGCGTCCGCGTCGGTGTCGTCGTCGAAGTCGTCGGAGACGTCGTCGGTGTCGTCGTCGTCGTTGTCGTCGGTGTCGTCGTAGTCGGTCTTCAGAGGTTTTGCAAACCAAGTTGCGGGTGGGTGAGTGGGATGTTTGTGCGAGCAGTGGAGATGACGACTTCAAGTTCAGCAGAGTGGATTGCACAACATAGATTGCACCACCCCGGCTCCACCGCTTACATTGCGCACCACGTATATCGCACAATCTGTATACGTGTATATCTAGTGCGACACACTGGTTGCACCGCGTACATTGCACAACATGGGGTCGAAGACACACATTGCATTACTTCGATTGTAACGCACATTCCACAAAAGACAATGCCCCACATAGATTGCCTAACATGTATGATCCAAAACTGCCTCCCCCCTCCTCCCCCAATGCGTATCGGATCGACCTCCCCCGCTCGATGGGTACGACCGTGAGCCTCGCGATAGCCTTGCAACTGGGACCGTTCCCTTCCCCGTGGTCGCGGCCATGTGGGCGTGGCCTGGTGGAGGGTGCCGGTGCAACCCCCCCTCCCTCCCCCATGCGGGTGTGGGAGGATGGCTCGTCGTCGTCGTCGTGGTCGTCATCTTCGTCGTCGTCGTCGTCGTCGACGTCGGCGGCGCTGGCGTCGTCGTCCGTCGGCGTCGGCATCCGCTTCGGCGTCGTCGTCGTCGGCGTCGTCCCCCCTCATCCCATCGTCGGGGGGGGGGTGCGCCTGTGAAATCCTGGGTTCCATCCTATGTGGGAAGGGGCCTGGGAACCCTCGACCCAGGATCAGATATGAATAGAAACATACTGTTTTGGGTCCACGCTGGCTAAAATTGAGTTCCAAGGGCGTTGCAATTCATGGCATCGCATAACTATCCTGGCAGTGCATCGCGCTGCGCACCATGAAAACATTGCGCACCCATGCGTACTTAGGGTCGCTCACTGGTCATTGTTGCCTGGGTGCTCTCATCCTGGTGTCATTGCTGGTGAAGTCGCATCTGGTACGAACACTTCGCTCACATTCCTTGTACAATCACACGTGTGACGATTACCCTTTGTATTTCACCTAGGGGTGGCAACCCGATGGATGGGACGCAAATGGCTAGGCCAGCGCTTAGCTCCGATGCAGATGACGAACCAACAACACACACACCCATACCCATAGGGGGGTCGGAAAGGGCTATGGGTGTGTGTTGCCGGATGGGGGTCCCCGCTCGAACGGAAGCGTTCCCTAGGGTCCGACAACCCGCACCCATACCCATAGCCAGTCCTCCTCCCAACGACCCCCTTATGGGTATGGGTGTGTGTTGTTCGCTCGTCAGCTGATCTCAGAATGGCCTGCTGCACCCAAGATTGATGCATGGTGACTGTGCCGAACGCGGGCGCACCAAGCGCGGGTGCACGATGCCTCTGCCGGAGGAGAGGCCTTCACATCAAGCAGGCGTACTTAGGGGGCCACATGCGAACCCTACCCCTACCCCCCACGGTTTCTGAGGGGGAGGGTGGGGTCCACTTCGCTCGGGAACTCCCGAACGAAGTGGACCCCGCCCTCCCCCCTCGGAAAGCGTGGGGGGCAGGGGTAGGGTTCGCATGTGGCCCCCTATTTACCGCCCCCGACTTTTCTGAGAGCGTTCTGGACCGCTCTGTACCAGATTTCTCCTCGTCCCAGCCCCGTCCGACCTGCGACTTCAGAAGTCGCAGGTCGGACGGGGCTGGGACGGGTCCACTTCTTTCGGTAGAAGTCGGACTTCTACCGAAAGAAGTGGACCCCACCCTCCCCCACAGAAATCGTGGGGGGCAGGGGCAGGGCTCGCATGTGGCCCCCTAAGTACGCCTGCTCGACGTGAGGGCCTCTCCTCCGGCAGAAGCATCGTGCACCTGCGCTTGGTGCGGCCGCGTTCGGCACAGTCACCATGCACCAATCTTGGGTGCAGCAGCCATTTGGAGCTCCCTCCCCCTCAGAAACCGTGGGGGGGTAGGGGTAGACTCGCACGTGGCCCCCCTAAGTGCTGCGACGGTGCCGTGCCGAATGCGCCGCGCAGACTTCCAATGCCGAATGTGTATGTATGAGCGCCGGGGACTGCGGGGCGACCGTCATACTTCAGCCAACAAAAATCCGGGGACTATTTTTGTTAGCATTCTTTGTCAATTTTGGGGCATTCTTGGGGTATGTATTATTTGTCGTCGAAAGTCCCCCTGTAGGGGGACTCGCCCGACTCAATACTTACGTCGTCATTGCAACCTCGGGGCCAATAGGGCAGGAGAGCGAGGGGGGGCAGGCGAGCAGCAGAGCACGAGGGCACCGAGGCACGACGGCGGGAGAGCAGAAGCACGGGAGAACACAGGGAGGCATGACCTTAGTGGGCCCTGGAAACGACAGGGCCGTTTTTTCACCGGTTCCGTTTTGCCGTTTTTTTGCCGGTTCCAACGCCGTTTTTTTACCGGTTCCGTCGCCGTTTTTGGACAGGTTCCGGCTCCGGTTCCAATCCTGGAGCATTTTTTTGCCGTTTCCGGTCGCCGTTTTTTTGCCGTTTCCATTTTCAAGGGACATGTTTTTGGAAACGGTGAACAAAACGGCCCTGCCGTTTCCGGGGCCCACAAAGGGCATGACGACAAGACCGCGAGAAGACTGGGCGAGGAGAGCCGTGGAGCAAGAGAGCTCCTGCAGGACCAATCTGCGCCTCCCTCGTCCCCCTCCCCAGCCCCTCGACGGGCCTCTTTCGGCCCCCCCCCGTCGTTCCGCAACGCGCGGCTCTTCCCCACCCCTCACCATATCCCTGATTATCCTGTCCCCGTCCTCCTGCTCTTCCTCCTCCTCCTTGCTACCACATCGCGCGAGGCCGCCCATTGACCTGCCCCAAGCGAGAGGCAACACAGCAGGAGAGCAGGACGGGGCTACGGATGGGCCGAAGAGGAAGCAGGGGGAGACTTAGGATCGAATAGTCCTGATCCGCCGCTGAATTTCTCTCCGGCTCCTTCCCCTTTCCCTCGCAAAAACACTCGCGGCCCAAATCCCAAATCACCGCAGACAATGCTCAGATGCAGTATTGCAAAGTGCTGTTTGCGAAAGGATAAGGGCGGCATGGGCCGTCAAGGAGGCGGCATGCTGGCCCGGCGACGCAGAACAACCGCGAGGCCACCTCGTCCCCAACCCGAGTCGCTCGCGCGCGCCGAATGCTCGTCCGTGGCAACACACCGAGGGGCGTGAATGCCTTCGGGCTGGGCGTTGTTCTCGGCGCGCTTGGCATTCACATCTCTCCGCGCCAGCCTCGGTTCAGGTTGCTGGAAGGGTGAGCAAGCAGAAGAGGGGGGCGGGAGGCGAAAGAGAACGATGCAACAAAAAGACGGATACTGCTATATATCACAGGTGGACCTAAACAGTGTTTTGGCGATTTCGTGGACCGTTTTCGTTTCGACTTCGTTTTGCGGTTGAAGACAAAACGGGGGAAAACGAAAGCAAAACGAAAACGAAACACACCGTTTAGGTTCAGCCCTGCTATACATATACATAGATATTGATAACTGCATCGGTGTATACAAAGATATATATATATATATATATATATATATATATATGTCTACAGAAATGTGCATATATGTATATATATATATATATATATATATGGTCGACCCCCTCCAAGATCATACCTTTTCGTCTCCTCATCCTCGATTGCTTCTTTTCCTTTCTCTCTCCCTCTCTCTCTCTCTCCTTTCTCTGTCTCTGGGCTCTCTCGGGACTCTGACCGTTGAGAACCGCTGTGCTTTCAAGGTTTTCCAGATTTTCCAAATTTTCCCAGACACTGACCATTGAGAAACGCTGTGTTTTCCAGGTTCCAGACAATGACCGTTGAGAAAAGCTGTGTTTTCCAGGTTTCCAAGTTTTCCAACTTTTTCCCAGACACTGACCGTTGAGAAAAGCTGTGTCTTCCAGGTTTTCCAAATTTTCCAAATTTTCCCAGGCACTGACCGTTGAGAAACGCTCACTCAGTTGGAAGTCTCTGGGAAGATCTGGAATACCTGGAAAATCTGGAAACCACAATGTTTTTCACTTGGGTAGGCTCTGTGGAGATCTGGAATATCTGGAAAATCTGGAAAACATAATGTGTTTCACCTGGGTAGTCTCTGGGAAGATCTGGAATAGTGGGAAAATATGGAAAACACACTGTGTTTCACCTGGGTGGTTCCTGGGGAGATCTGGAATATCTGGAAACACATGGTTTTTCAACGGTCAGTGCCTGGGAAGACCTGGAAAACTTGGAAAAAACAAGCCGCGCGACCCCTTATTTGTTCATCGGGAGACGTCGTGCGCGCGCAAGTCAGGTGACTCCAACGAGGCAGCATTGGCCGCTTGCTGCCCCGCCCGTTGCAGAATAGCACCCCTCACAGCGGCCCCCAGCCGCAATCGCAAACGCCGTTTATGCATCACACCCCTCAGAGCGCCAGCCATCGCAAGCGCCCTCACGCAGGCGCGCCAGCGCCCGAACTCGCTGCCGCGGCGCCCGTCACCCCGTTGTCCTCTAGCATCTGCGAGAGGTCCTCCTCGATGTCCGTGCGCTTCTTCTTCGGCGTCGGCGTGTCCAAATGAATGGCGCCGCAATCCTTGGACTTCTGGAGGCGCTGGCGGAACACCCCTGGCTCCCTCTTGATCGCCGCCGCAGGCGAGGGGGGCGCGGCCGCGACGGCCGCGGGGGGGGGGGGCGTCGTCGCCATCCATCCCGCCGCCGAAGCCGAAGACGTCTTCCTCGTCCTCTGCTGCGGCGGCGCCTCTCATCTCGCCGCCGAGACCAGAGTCGGCGTCGTCGTCATCTGGGTTGCCTGGGATGGCGGGCGCAGGCGGCGCGGCCGCGCTGACGGCGGCGGATGCGTCGGCGCCGACGTTCATTTCACCGTCCATTGCAGCGAACTCATACCTCGGGGGCGCGTCCTGGTCGAAGAGCGTGGGGCCGCGAACCGTCCTCGAGCGCCCGGTGTCCTCGCCGCGAGCAAGCTTCTTCATGGCGGCCACGGCCCACTTTATGTGCGCGCCGTAGTCGGGCGGCGCGAAGGTCTGGTCCTTCTTGAACCGCTTCAGGATAGGGGTGGTCTCGGGCGTGAAGAGGTCTGGCTTCTCGGGCACTGGCCACGGGAAGCGGGGGGCTGGATCCTTAGTCGTAGACGCCAACCGCAGGTGCATCCAGTCGTCAGTGAGCAGCGCGATGTTGGACCCCGCCATGCACGCCTCCACGTCCGCCGTCTGGTAGCCGCGCTGCTTCTCGCCAGCGAAGTTGCGATCTATGATTTTGAGGAAGTCGTCGAATTTGACCACTTGTTGGCCTCTGCGGATGGAACACACCTTCTTCTCGAACTCCTGGTCGTAGGGGTTGGCGCAGATCTGGCGGGGCTGGTTCTGCTCGAAGGAGGCGCCGCCCCGCCTATGCAGCGCGCGGAAACGACGCACACCAAAACCGACATGTAAAACATGGCTTGTCGCCGTTTGGGTGTTTGATTGTTTATACTTTCGGCGGCGTGCGCCATCCGCGCCCTGCGGCCTCGCCCGCAGCAGCGCGTCCTCCTCGGCGGGGTCCAGGAAGGCAATGATCTCATCGGGGGCCCACTTCGTGAGGGCGGTGTCGTCCGCGATAGCGGGCTTGTGCACAGTTCCAGGCTCGAGCCGCGAAAAGTCGATTTTCTCCGTCGTGACGGCGCTCGGACGGAGGTCGGCGCGGCTATTCTCATCAATCTAGTAGGCGGAGATTGCGAAGCCGATGGTTTTCGACGCCGTGGACTTGCCGACCCTGGTCTTGCCGATCCACATGGTCCCGTGCACGTCGTGGCTCTTGAGAATGGGGACGACGATGTTGTCGAACACGAACGGGTGGAAGCGCTTGAGCGTGATCGCCCAGCGCTCGAGCGTCCTCGCGCCAACAGAGCCCGACGCGTAGTTGCGGAGCGACTCCTTGACTTCCGATGCCTGCCAGCCAAAGATCGGCGACTTCTCGTCGTTGATCTGTTCGTCGGTCCACTCCGCGAACTGGTTGCGGTTGTTTGCCCTCGGGCCGAACTCCTCTATGAAACGGTAGCCCGCCCTTCGCTTCTCCTTGTCGTAACCGCCACCGCCGACGGCGGCGGCCACGGACGGCTGAACCCAATGGCGGATCTGCACCCCGCCCAGCCTGTCCATCATGTAGTGAAAGAGATTGAGTGGCGTCTTAGTGTCGGCCGAACCCCCCCCCAGTGGATGGCGAGCGCCCTGCCTGCAACGAAGATATCCTTGGCAATGTCTGTCCGAACCTTGTTGTCGAACCTGACGTACTTCAGCGCGCACTGCTCGCCGTTCGCGCCCTTCGGCAAGGTGCGCAGCTGCATGGTGAAGGCGATCTCGCCAGCATCCTTGTTGGGCTTAAACGGGGCTGACAACGCCATGTAGTTGCCCCCGCGCATGGCGTCACACGTCGACTGTGTCCAGTTGCTCCGCGGCGCCATCCTCCAACGTCACCCAATCCACTAAATGCTTCGCATTCGCGACGTTGTCCGCGCACTGGAGCGGCACGTCGCGGAGGACGAAAGCAGCGGGAGGGTCTGATTGGACACGCTCGGGCTTGTCGAGCGTCTTGTAGGACTGCACCGACGCCATGCGTAGCCACGTGTTTTCGATTTGATCAGTTGCGGAGGCGTCGCCACCGACGATCTCTCCCATTGACTTGACGCCGCCAGCCGTCAAGCTCGCCATGGCTGACAGCGGGCGCAAACGGAAGCTTGAAGTGAAAGATTGGCAGCTGGGGGGCAGCAAGCGCGAACTACTGAACCCTGCGATTGAGCCCAAACAGCTACGAACAGAAGGATGTCGGCAAGGACGTCGCCGCTGCTGCGAGGTGGCAAGACTGGCGACGGCGCTGGTGAATACAACTGTTTCTTCGCTAGTATTGACGCCATGGAACAAGTCGAAGGCAATATGCGTAACTGCGCGCACTTCGCGTGGGCACTCTCGCCATGCTGGCCCAGCCCACCGCAACGCAGAAAGCATCCCAGAGTTAAACCCCACCCTCAGTGAAAACAATGGCACTCCCACCCTCAGTACACGCCGCTCATCTCCTCGTAGATCATGTCACCCGTGGCCACCCAGAGGTCGTTGCCCCTGTTCCAGTACTCCCACTGTCCCGAGCGAATCCTGCCGGCCAGTGCCCTGCTCTTGGGCTTCAAAGTGCGGCTGCCGGTGTGCTCCTTCAGGAACTGCCGGGCCCTGTCCACGATCTGCGTGCCGCCCTTCACAAGGATGGGGGCGCCCTCAGGCAGTTTGCGACGCACCATTTTGGTGAACGCGGGCTTGAGCCACGCCCACTTGCCGTAGATTTTCTTGCGCTTTCGCGCGCGCACGACCCAGTCATGTAGGACCCCATCCGCCCGAATCTTGTAGCTCCTGGCGCCGTCGGAGTGGGGGATGACCTTCTGGTGCTGCAGGCGGCTGAGCAAGAACGGCTTCCAGTCTGACTTGGTGGTTGCCCCAGGGCCTGGCGCCTTCGGGACGGTCGCGTCGTTGTTGGTGCGCCGCAGTACCAAGCTCTGTGGGCGCCCGCGCTCAACGCAGCCAGCCCACTGCTCCCATTCCTTCGTTTTCTTGTCAGTTGATAGCGCCGCGCGGAAAACCGTCTCGTCCGCTTCCACGTCCACCCACTCCTTGTCGCCCCCGAACACGATCTCCTTCTTCTTCTTCTCGACGAACCGCTGGCGGGCTGCATCCAGGTACCTGGACGTGCGTTCGATAGCCTTGTGATTGACGTTGAGCAGGAGGTGGGTCTGCGCGGTGGTCATCCCGATCAACAGGCAGAACAACATCTTGACCTTGTTCATCAGCGACATCTTGCTTTGTCCATTGCCGTCGCTGAACACGGGGTGCCCGTAGCACGCGCCCGCCTGCTTCCCGCGCCGCCGACCGCTGTTGCATCGACACTTCACCGCCCCGTCCGCCTGGACACGCCGATTGCCGAGCTTGCCCTGCCCGCAGTGCGGACAGATGCGGCCCGACCAATCGATCAAGATGTTGTCCTCGATCAGCATCGACACCATGTCCTCCTCAGACTTCCACTCGAAGCTGGCGAGGGAGCGGCGCCATTGCTCACGTTCTTTTCGGGTCTGCGTGGGCAGCGTGCCGCTGCGGGTATATATCACGGAGGCCTTCATGCTGTTCTTCTTCTTCTGCTTCATGGCACTCTGGTCACGGCCCATGATGCCCTTGCCGCGCTTAGGCACTGGGAAAGGGCGGAGTGCTTTGTCTGAGCGTTTCAACATCGTTTTCTTGGTTGGGATGGTGGCCCCAGCGGGCCGCTTCATCGCGCCAGCGGGCCGCTTCATCGCGGCAAAGACCACGGCGGAACCCGCTGCTCGAGGGAAGTTTGGGCTAGGGCGGCTACGAGGAGGAGGATGAGGAGGAGAAGGAGGAGGATCTTATGTCTAATTGGAACTGTGCTGGACTGCTCCACATGTGGCTTTGGTTATGGTTATTGTTCTGGCTCTGGTTCTGGCTCTGGTTCAAGTTCTGGCTCTGGTTCTGGCTCTGGTTCTGGCTTTGGTTGTGGTTCTGGTTCTGGTTCTGGTTCAGGCTCTGGTTCTGGCTCTGGTTATGATGCTGATTCTGGCCCTGGTTCTTGTTCTGTCTCTGGTTCAGCTTCTGGTTATGGGTATGTTTCTGGCTCTGGTTCAGGCTCTGGTTCCGGCAGTAAATCACGTGCAGACGAACGGCAGTGTTTTCGGGCGCGGAGGTGGGAACCCTGGCCAGGGAGCCTTTTTTTTTCATGTCCCCTCTCCAGCACATCAAACGGGCAAGGAAGCCTTTTTCAGGTTCCCCCTCCCGCCACTGGCCAGGAAGCCTTTGTTTCAGGTTCCCTCCCCAGCGCATCGAACGGGCCAGGAAGCCTTTTCAGGTTTCCTCTCCCGCCACTGGCCAAGGAGCCTTTTTTTTTCAGGTTCCCTTTCCAGCAAATCAAACGGGAAGGGAAACCGTTTCAAGTTTCTCTCTCCCGCCACTGGCCAGGGAGCCTTTTTTTTTCAGGCTCCCTTTCCAGCACATCAAACGGGCAAGGAAACCTTTTCAGGTTTCCCCTCCCGCCACTGGCCAGGGAGCCTTTTTCAGGTTCCCTCTCCAGCACAACAGACGGGCCAGGAAACCTTCCAGGAAACCTTTTCAGGTTTCCCCTCCCGCCACTGGCCAAGGAGCCTTTTTAAGGTTCCCTCTCCAGCACAACAAGCGGGCCAGGAAACCTTTTCAGGTTTCCCCTCCCGCCACTGGCGAGGGAGCCTTTCCGTGTCGGCCACATCGTCGAAGGAGCACATCGCCGAAAGGGCATCCATAAATGGATGCCCCCTTCTGCCGCATCAAGGCACGATGGAAGGAGACCCTGGAACCGATGCGCAGGCATAATGAAGATAAGCGTGGTAAAGATGAATAGGAGGGAGATGAGGATGAATGCGGTTCAAGACGAGATGTATGATCTTGGAGGGGGGGCTATATAGAGAGAGCTAAACCAGTTTGCATAAGTATATAGCATGGGAAACCTATACATATAAAAACACGTATTTACACAAACATGCATTTATATATAAATATGCATGCATTGATACTACACAAAGGCAACATACCGAACATAATGGAAGAGCGGGCGGCCAGGGCTGTTTCCGTAATTACGGGGGCAAGGTGAATGCCACGCTGGCACCAGGGAGGGGGTGTGGGGAGCGAAATGCGACTGTGGACATGCCAGTGATGGCTGACACACGCTCAGTCCTTCAAAAAACGGTGCGGCCTCTGCAGCGCTGGCCACTTTTTAGGATGTGTGTGTTTGCTCCCATCGTCCAGGATGACCACAGCGCGGGCCACATTTGTGGATCCGATTCCTTCCTCGGCGTTGCCGTCCCTCTCCGTTCTCCTCCTCCGCCTTCCCTTGGCCCTCCTGCTCCTCCACCTCCTCCTGCTCCTGCTCCATCATCCGCCTCATCCTTCTCGCCCGCCGATCCATAAGTGCCCCCAACCAATTGCACAGCACACGAAGGATCCAAGCTCGAAACGGCCAGTGGGGACCAAAGTCCTCTAGGACACCTCAATCGGCGGATGACATAGGATCCATCGCAACGGGAATGGATGCGCTGGTGCGGCACGATCTCGGATATGGCGCAACCGCACCTACAGCTTGACCCCCCTCTCCCTTCCCCCCTCCCCTACAGTAGGGGCCCGACCACAAGAAACCTTCCCACAGGAAACCCAAGCCTGAGACCCCAGGACGTCCTTTGATTTGTTTGGCGTGGGAACGCCACGCTTCCCATAGCAAACACATCAAAACCCAAGAAACCCAGAGCACCCTGGAGGCGAGCAGGGTAGGAGGAGGAGGAGGAGGAGGAGGAGGGTCTCCACTGTACCATCGGTGAGCACCATGGGCCACAGGTCTCGGAGGCGGGCCCTGGAAGCCCGCTTCCCTCGGGACGGGCCTCATCCCGAGTCGTTTTTGATGGGTTTGTTTTCCACCACCACCACCACCACCATAAGTACTAGGGGAGGGGCTCTTTCTCTTCTTCTTACTCCTCCTCCCCTTCGTCCTCCTCCCCCTCATCCTCCACCTCCTTCCCCCCTCCACCTTATGGTGGTGGTGGTGGAGGACAACACGGCCATCAGTTTTCTGACGGACCTGGGGCCCACTATCGAGGCCCAAAACAGTGCAACGCCACACGACTCATTCTCCTCAATACCCCACTGCTTTACAATATGAGCTCGACCTCAAGAGGCCTTCCACAAGAAATCTGACCCCTGAGACCCCGGGACGTCCATCCAACTGCTGCTGTGGGAACATCACGCTTTCCATGGCAGCACCATCAAAGCCCACGAAATCCACGGCACCCTGGAGGCAAGCAGGGTGTTTCTTGGCATGGGTTTCCGCTGTATGGTGACATTTGTGTAACACGTACACTCAATTCGAGAGTGACGAGAATGCGCGCGTGCGCATCCGCATCGTGCACGGATGCATTTCAAATGCGCAAGGTATTGGGGGGGCACCCGCACGGCCCGCGTGGGTTCTGCTTTCTGCCAGCGCACGAACATTTCAACCTTGAGTAATCTCCGCTGCCGGGTGGCCACAGAGTCTGTCGACCCCGTCATTCGATGTCCACTTGACAAAGAAAATGCTAAGTTGCAGCGTTGTCTGTGCAAGGCTCCGGGAAAACTTCCAGTTCCAATCGAATGCATATGGAACTCAAGAGGGGCATCCATTTTGGCTGTTGGATCAAGAAGCGTTCCAGCATGCCCGTGCCTCTGGACGCTCTGAAGGGATCCCGAAGCCATTGTATACATGTCCGTGACTGACGGATCCCTTGGAACTGCTGGGCTGCCATGATCGTCGTTGTTCTATCAGGCTGTTCGGCTACATGCCAGAAGGAGAAGCTGGAGTGAAATCATGGTCGACGTCCCGCGCGTGCTTACTCGAATTGTATGCACACCTTGTACACTGTGAAATCTCTGGAGGTGGACGTTTCCTTTAAAACAGGGCTAGGATCGGGATAAATCGATCCAGAGCGTTCCGGAGCGCTCTCGGAGCGTTCCGGAGCGCTCTGGAGCGGCCGCGGCGCCCAATACATCCTCCGAGCCCGCCGATTCTCAGAGATTTCGAGCTATCCCGATCCGATCTTGTCCCGATCCTCGCGTCGTTTTAAAATCTCTGGAGGTGGACGTTTCCTTATTCGGCCATTCGACATTGGGCGGAAAGGCGGGGGGAGGGGGGAGGGTCCGGCGCCGGGTCTCCGCACGGTGCGACTGCTTGCAGCTGTGCGTCCCCCGGGGGAGACTCCGCCGGCTCGAGGCAGGCGCCTGAAATCAGGGGGGCGTAGGACCTGGGTGCAGGGGACTCGGAAATGCCCGACGAGGTCGTCAAAAAAATGACGAGGCCGAGCCTGCATTTTGACGAGGCCTCCCGCTGCAGACATCCCACGAAACTCCTCCTCGTCAAAATCCGAGGCGCGGTCGTCAAAAAACGGTGGCGAACCCGAGTCCTGGCAAACCCGGGTCTTACGCTCCCCCGATAAAACAGCCAGGATCCTCTCCAGGGGGGGGGGTCGAGAGCCCGCGCCGATCGGCAGCACAATGAACATGAAAGCGACGACGGGTACCACACTCTCAGGCTCCACTTGTCCGTCGCCGTGTCCCCCTGGCTGGCACGCAGCGCGCACTGGAACGCGACGGTGCATGCTGCGTGGTGGCACAGTGGAGTCCAGTCCACAAGCAAACCCTCCACAAGAACCCAACCCTGAGACCCCAGGACGTCCATTGATTCTTGGTGTGGGAACGTCACGCTCTTCATAGCAGAACCATCGAAACCCAAGAAACCCAGGGCACACTGGAGGCGAGCACGGTACTTCTTGGGATGGGCCTCCACTGCACTCTGCGCTGAGCTGGCGGTGAACTGGCGCTGAGACCCCAGGACGTCCATTGATTCTTGGTGTGGGAACGTCACGCTCTTCATAGCAAAACCATCGAAACCCAAGAAACCCAGGGCACCCTGGAGGCGAGCACGGTCCTTCTTGGGATGGGCCTCCACTGCACTCTGCGCTGAGCTGGCGGTGAACTGGCGGAAAGGGGGAGGAGGAGGAGGAGGAGGAGGAGGAGGAGGAGGAGGAGGAGGAGAGGAGGAGGAGGAGGAGGAGGAGGGGGAGGAGGAGGAGGAGGAGGAGGAGGAGGAGGAGGAGGAGAGGACGGGGGGCGGCCTGCCGCGCTGCGCGGCCTGGAGCTTCGTGGCGGCCGCGCTTTCCTCCTGCTCCTGGACGTAAGGATGGGGCTGGGAAGCCCAGAGGAAAGCTGCCCTCCTCCCGTTGCCGTTTCGCCTCCATCTTCGTCTGACCTCATCCCTCCTCCGTCGTTCGGTCCCCCTCCTCCCCCTCTCATCATCCCTTGCCACTCTTCGCGCTGCGCGGCCTGGAGCTTCGTGGCGGCCGCGCTTTCCTCCTGCTCCTGTACGTAAGGATGGGGCTGGGAAGCCCAAAGGAAAGCTGCCCTCCTCCCGTTGCCGTTTCGCCTCCATCTTCGTCTGACCTCATCCCTCCTCCGTCGTTCGGTTCCCCTCCTCCCCCTTTCATCATCCCTTGCCACTCTTCACTCCTGCTCCATCCCTTCCATTTCCTTATATTCCTATTCTTTCTATTATTATTATTATCATTCTTGTTACCATGAATATTAGTCGTACTACTATGGGTGTTCCTTTTTGCTGCTGTTGTTGTTGATTCTATTATTCTTATTACTATGGTCAATAGTAATATCATGATTATCCTCCTCCTTTCTTTCTCCTCGTCTTCTCCCTCGTACCTATCCTCGCCGTCGCCCATGGTCGCGCAGGGGCGCTAATTCTCCAAGGCCCACTGCGCATGGGGCGGCCGCTCCCTCTGTGCCGATTTCTTGTGGGGTCCCGCGGGCTCGTAGCTGCGGGCGTCGGGGACGCGGGCCTCCGCCTCCAAGTTCGAATTGGGGGCGCGGGCGAGCGCGATCCAGCCAGGGGCCGCAACGTCGCTGGCGATGGTGGGCCGACGGAAGGAAGGAGGGCGGCCAGCGGCGCGGTCTCGCTGCGGGGGCTCGCGGCCAGCGCGCGCGAGCCCGGAGGGCGAGCGCAGCGACGCCCGAGAAAGTGGCGACGTAGGCGGAGGGGCACAGGCTGGCCATCGCTCGGACGTCCATGTCCTGTGTTTTTTTCGGTTTCGTGCGTGGCTTTCTTGCCAAATGATCAAGAGGATGCTCCTCGGTGGCCCCGGCCGAAAAAAAAATGCACACGCCCGAGCGATGCCAGGCAGGTGGCGGGCGAGCATGCCCTCCACTTCGGCGAGAGAGCCGCGGCGCCCCTGGATCAATATGGTCGCCTCCTCCTCCTCCTCCTCCTCCTCCTCCTGCGCCTGGGAGCCCCTGGGAGCGCGTGGAAGCGCCTGGGGGGGGGACCCTGCATACACAACTTCGCGCCGGGCCCGTGTGCGTGCGTTCCAGGGCCCCAGGTTGCGGCCGAGACCGGGCGCGGAGCGCGCCCGCGGGGCGGCGGGGCTCGGGGTGGTGGCCTTCCACGGGGCCCACTGAGTCTTACATGGGTCAAGGGGCCCCAGGACACACAAATAAATACACACAAAGAAAAACATTCCCAATATTTTGTCCCATATGTTCTGCGGCTCTGTCTTCCCCCCCACTTCCCATAGGCCCCCACGAGGCTTCCAAGCGGCCCCTCAGAGCTTCCCAAGAGGCCCACAAACTACCCCCAAGAGGCCCCCAAGAGCGCTCGTCGTCGTCGTCGTCGTCGCCATTCAGGGTCGGCGGCACCGGCCGAAAGGCCTTCGCAATACACACAAATAAAAACATTCCCAATGTTTTGCCATATGTTTCTGGGTTTTTGTCTTCCCCCCACTTCCTAGAATCTTTTCCTGGGAATCGACGATTACTTGCGTCTGTGTCCTTTTTCCTCTCCTGAATGGGCCATGACGTATCAGACGGGACATAGGCCGATTCGAACTTCTGCTTGATGAGGTCTTGCTGGCGCCCATCTGCGCGACGGCAGATGGGTTCCCGTTGAACTCGGGCTGGTCGCGGAGGCCCTGCCGCTCAACCTCCGCGGTCAGCATCGCCCCCTTCTGGCCCATGCCCGACTGGGGTGATGTCCTGGGCCCCATGCGAGCGTGGACTCCACCCGCGATGACGCCGAACCGCTTCCTGTGGAGCTCCCTTCGGGCATGCTCGGACGACTCGTCCGTGGAGGCGAAAAGCGGCGCTTCGGCGCCGTGGGCACTCCTGGGCACTGAACTGGCGCCACTGCCCGCCAGCGAGCTTGAGGGCTCGAGCAAGCGCGAGGGCCCGAGGTGATGCCGCCCCTGGTCCGCCTTGCGCGCGTAGGTGATATCGACAAGCTGGGACGTCTTCACACATTCTGGCACGTTCTGGTTGGAGCTGGGCATGTTGCATCCACTGAGCTGCGGCATGTCGGACTTCTTCAGGCTGCACGTTGCTGGGCGCGCCGGTGCTGAAGAGGGCCGCGTTGGGCTCCCGGTCGTAGCCGGCGTAGCCAATGGCAGGGCGATGAGCTCCTGCGAGCGAGGTGGCAGCTTCGAGCCGTTGCGCAGATTGTCGCAACGCCGCCTGCTCTTCAGCTCGTGCTTCTTGTCGACGGCAGACAGTGCTGAGGGGGCCCAAGGACACACAAATGAATACACACAGATAAAAAGATCCCCCATATTCTTACATATTTTCTGGGTTTTTGTCTTCCCCCCCACTTCCCATATTTTCCATATTTTCCTGGGAGTCGCCGATTAATTGTGTCTGTGTGTTTCTTTTCCTCCTGAAATGCTGAGGTCGCGACCAGTGCTCTCCGGGCCTAATGCGGCGCGTAGCATGCCCCGATGGTAGGGCGTAGGTCGGCATGGACGCTAGTGAAGGGGCCCCAGGACACACAAATAAATACACACACAAATAAAACGATTCCCCATATTTTCCAATATTTTCTGGGTTGTTGTCTTCCCACCCACTTCCCATATTTTCCCATATTTTCTGGGGAATCGACGATTAATTGTGTCTGTGTGTTTGCTTCCCTCCTGAGTTAGGCCAGGCGTGATCACACAGAGGTTTATAAGCTGCTGGGTGGCGAGCGTGGGCTGGTTGTTGACAGTGCGGCCAGTGGCCGCGGCGAGACTCCCCAGAACTGCTCCGCCAGGTGGCCGTGGCACACGTGGTGAAGGCTCACGAGGTCATATAAGTGCCGTGCCACGGGGTCAGGGAGGGCGATGGCAGGCAGGAACATCTGCGCGATTGCGAGCGTGCCGCAGACCTCCAGCACCTTGGGCGCCGGGAAGTTCGTCTGCAGGGACAATCGGCCTCCACGTCATGAGCCAGTCGAGCGCGCCCCGTGTCGCCGAAGGACTCGAAAGTCTGTTGTTCAGAACGGGCTCGTGGAAGACAGTGGGAGCGGCCGCTGTCGGCACCAGGAGCTTGTTCAGCGCCTCGAGTGTTGGACCCAATCCTGCCAGATGCGGGGGCCACAGCAAAACCTTTTCCATCTCGCCGTCGTCCCAAGCTGCCCGAGCCAGCCCATGGGTCCCGTCGTTGGAGGGGGTCACGGCACTCCTGGTCACCAGCTGGGGTGCCAGGTTCACGGATCGTTTCTCGTTGCTCTCCGCGTCAGGCTTGGCGTAGTGTGCTGCGGCGGGGGGGGGCGCTTCCATTGTGGCCACCACTGCGCGAACCCCGCGGAAGGGGAGTTCGATCTCCAACTTGAGGACGGCGTCGTGACCGGTGTGCTGCGCAAAATTGGCTGCTAAAATGGCGTTGCTGGAAAAGCTCGGCCCGAACGCCGCGAGGACGTTGAGGAGCAGGGCCAGTCGGCTTTGCGCACGAACGCTGGCGCGGAAAGACGTGGGCAGACCAGGACTGGGGAGCGGCTTTGCCTGCGGCGGACCAGGACTTGACTATGAAGGTTCCTGGGGGCGGACCAGCACCTGAAATTGGAAGTGCCTGGGGCGGACCAGGACTTGAATACGAACCCCCTGGGGCGGATATGAAAGGCTAGGAAGATCACTGCTGCCGACACCTGCTGGAAAGGAGCCTACCCCGCTTAGGCAGTGGATGTTTCGCCATGCTGGCCTTGAGCCAGAACGACCACGGCGGGATGCGATGCGGAATGAGGATGAGGAGAAGGCATAGGGCGAGGAGGAAAGGGGTGGGGAGGAGGGACGAGCGAGGAGGACGGAAGGGGGAGGCCGAACACGACGCGGGGATGGATGACGAGGAAAGGTGAGGGCAACAAGTGAAGGAGCCGGGGCACGAAGCATGGCTCCCGATCCCGCGACCTGCTCACTGCGAGCGTCGCGTGCGCGGCGGGCTTGCCGCTGCTGCGTGGGGCTGCTGAGGCGGAGGAACGGGAGACGACTCCCTGCCACCGTGGGGGCCCCAATCCCGCTCCCCCCCGCGATCTGCTCGTGGCTCTCCTCCTCGCCACGCACATCCCACGCCATCTCGCCTCCTCCCTCCTCCTCCCTCTTCCTCTTCCTTTTCCTCCCTCTTCCTCCTCCTCCTTGTCCTCGACTCTCTTTCCCTCGAAGCCATCCCCTCACACCTCCTCCCTCTTCCTCCTCTGTTTTTTTTTCTCCCCGCTCCCCCTCCTCGCCCCTCCCCCATCCCCCTTCCTCCCTGCACCCTTCCGCCTTTTTCTCGCCCTCCTCCTCCTTCTCCCCGCCCTCCGCCTCACGCCCTTCAACCCCGTCAGGCTCCTCCTCCGTCTCCGTCTCCATCTCGTCGCTTCTCTTCCTCCTCCTCCTCCTCCTCCTCCTCCTCCTCCTCAGGCTCGCCCTCGGCCTTGCCCTCCTGGCCCTTGTTATCCTCCGTGCCCCGCATCGCGCGTCTCGAACCTTGCCGCACCCTGCTCGGTGCCTCCACCCCCGCGCCCTCCCAAGGGGAACGAGACAAATGAGCACAAGGGAGCGCAAAGCACACGCGGCCAAATTCCCCCCACGTCGTCCTTGGACGCCTTCATCGCCGCGACTTCCCTGCGCGATTTCCGACCTCGCATCCTGCTCTGGATCTTCGCCGCGGCCTGCTCCTGCTCCTGGCCGGTTTCAAGAAAAAAAGGAGCGCCAAGTAGCAACGAAAGTCAGCAATGGGTCGGACGGACACAATGGCAGGAGTGAGGAAAGCAGGAGGAGACAGGTAATGATAGCCACGAGGAAGAGGAGGCACAATAACATGAACACAAAGAGAAACAGACGAGAGATGACGACGAGCGAGAGGCAGACACGGAGAACGAGGGGGAGGATTGTGACAGAGCAGGACGAAGAGGAGATGCAGGAAGACAAATAAGCGACGGAAAGAATCTGGCAAAGATGAGGCTGGAAAAGACGGGAAGAAGAGAACGACGACACTGACGACCAGGCGGAGGGGACGAAGAAAGGTAGAGGACGGCGAGGAGCAGGACGGAGAAGAGGCACAGCGCTCCTGTGCCTCCTTGAGATCGCGGAGTTGCTGGACCTCGCTGGGGTGGGGTGGTGTGAAGGGGGGGGGGAGGGGGCACACTTCTTGGAGCCACCAGGGGGGGGAGGGTGAGGAGGAGGGTGAGACATGTTGAGCGGGAGGGTGGGGGAGCGGAGAGGAGGTGCGATGAGATGGGGAAGATCACTGAAAGTGGGATGGGGGAGGGAGCATTCTGTAGGGGAACAAAAAGTGGCATAAACATAAAAACTCGGAGGTCCGCGCGGATTTCTCGGAACGGCGCTGGACCCCCTGGCGGCGCCTCCGGCGCCGCCCATGGCGCGCTCCGCGCGCCAGAGAGGGTGTCCAGCGCGGATCCGAGAAACCCGCGCGGACCTCCGAGTTGTTATGTTTATGCCACTTTTTGCTCCCCTATTCTGTGCCACGATAGAAGGTTACTACATGTTGAGAAAGCGGGTGCAGTGTGGATCCGTAGTGTGGGCGCGCGCAGCGCAGTTGCCGGCCGCCCCGTTAGAGACGCGGAGCCTGGCACAATGTGATTGGAAGGTAATGCGTCAGCGAGGGTGCGGACAACGCGATTCGTAACCTGAGGTACTGTAGCTATACAATAATACGCCGACGATTCGATAACGGCGAACACCGCTGGATATCTTCCCAGACGAATGACAAAATGTGAATTCACATTTTGGAACGCGCAAACTGAGAATTCATAGTTTGGGAAAAGAAAAACTACGAATGCACAACCTTGAACGCCGTAGCAAACTTTCAATGCGCCCTGGGGGATGGCCCAGGGCGTAGCAAGGCGGGCAACGATGGCTGGGCTATGCGTTGCCGCCAACGGACAACGCTCGAGCGTCACATCTCTGCCTGCAAATCCCAAAGCGTAAAGGATGCCAAACATATCGGAGCATTTGAATGGGCGATGCATGAGCCGTAGATGGGCCATTCACTACTCATCGATGGCCCCCTGCTGGGGACCCCTTCTTTCACCCCCCGAAAAATCATGTCGTAAGCATTCGAATCGTGTGGGAGTGTCTTTGAAAACTGTGCGCTCCTACTGGTATCTGGACAAGGCGTTCACGCAAGATGATTGTGTGTAATCGTATGGCACCGTCGGCAATTCCATGAATCGTATCCAAAAGCGCCGCAACCAAACTTTCATCACGCTACCTCAACACGACAATATTACAAAGGCCATGATCCTGAAATGTAGGGTGAACTCTAATACGTTCGTTCGCGCACATACGATAATTACAAGCGGAGTTCACAGCGGAGCGAAATACAACACCACATACCAAACATATGTTCCAGGGTGGGCACCCCCCCTCATTCTGATGCCACCGGCCCCCCCCCCGCGCGATGGCCCTCCCCCACCTGTGGGCGTGGTGTGGTGTGGTCTTCCCATGTGGGCGCGCGGTGGTGGGTATGGGGTCCGGCCCTCACCCCCCCCCCGTGGATGTGGGGAGGTGGGTGGTGGTGGTGGTGGTGGTGGCAGTGGTGGTCGGGTTCTCCTAAGGAGGGGGAGGAGAGGGAGGAAGTTAAGGAGGAAGATGAGGAGCGGACGGTGCGTTCGTCGTCGTGGTCGTGGTCGTGGTCGTGGTCGTCGCCATCGTCGTCGTTACCATCTGGGGATGGGGGGCGAGGGACCCTGAGACCCATCTCATCCGGGGGAGGGGGGGCCGTGGGCCCAGACACGGCGCGCTCGTCAGAAGATGACCCACTAGAGCCCTGTGAAGACTACGACGCTCATCATTGTCCTCCCTCCTGCATGCCTATTTCTGCTCATGCTCCTGCTTGCTCCTGCCCTCCTCCTCCCCCTTCTCCTCCTCCCCCTCCCTTCCTTCGGGCAACCTAACTATGGATCCCTCTGTGTCTCACCTTGACCAGTCCATAGGCAGACCTGGACGGCAGACTACGGGGAAAGAAAAAACAGAAACATGAAGAGAAAGAGGATGACGACGGCAACGTGCATTCTGTAGTAACACTACAGTAGAAGCTGCAGTAGGGACTGCATTGCAATTTTTGGAATGGTCGCAATAAGAGATGCGGGAACTGTCATTCTGGTTGGACCATGGGTGGTAGAAGGATTTGCAGAATGAGCTGTACTGAAGCTTGTACTAAGGGAAGGGTCGTGGGAGCTGTGGGGGTGCTGTGTTACTGGCTGTAGTCGGAAATAATACAATCGATGTTAGGAAGAGATGCACGGGGGTTTGTAGTACGAGCTGCAACAATATCTGTATTAAGGGAAAAGGTTACCCCATTCTGGACGGTTGGCTGTGTAAAGGCACTCGAATGGGAGTTGTAGTACAACGTCTTGTCAAATCTGCGTCGGGACTGTAGTGGTGGCTATACGACGTGATGTGAATGTACTTCGTTGCGGTACGAGCTGCCTTCAGAGATGTGTTAGGACATGTAATCTGAAACGTCGTAGGTGCTGTGGGGAGACGTACGTTGGAAGCTGTCTGGTTCCTGTAGTCGGTTTTGCAGTCGCACCTGTAGCCGAACGTGTACACAGAGCTGGGGGAATTGTAGGACGAGTTGGAATTGGATCTGTGCGGCTGGCTGCCCTTTGGAGTTTCGTATTGTTCGACTTGCCGTAGGAGCGGCACTGTTGGCAGTGGTAGAAGACAGGCTAGGGGCCGCAGTCAGAGGAGACGAATGATCTTGATGTAATAATTGTAGTGGGAGCTGTGTTTTTGGCTGCTGTTGGACTTGCGATGGAAGCTGTGGTCAGGGATGTAGTAGAACTGCAATACACGTTGCAGCAGGGATTTTACCAATAGTTGTGTTCAAAGCTGCACTGGAACCTGTGCGAATTGAACAGCTGGTTGTGATGCGGATTGCAATATGGGGTTGCATTATGATGTATAGTACAGGCTGTACTGAAGTGTAGAAGGCACGGTCGTAGGGGTTGGATTGAGAGCTGCGTTGATGGTTGTGGTAGGAATTGACGTGTGAAGTGAAGTGAGAGAGGCAGGAGAGCTGCAATAGACGCACTAGCAGAATTTGTATCAGTAGCTCCGGTAGGACCTGCAATGCGAATTGTAGTGAAAACTGCATTGCTGGCTGTGAGATGAGTTGCAGTAGGAGCTGTACTGTGAGCTGCTGTCTGTCGCGGAGGATCGAATACTGATCGTAAGAGGACTCGTAGCAAGGGCTGCCGATGGACGAAGCATACGAGGAACAGAGATGGGGGCGGCAGAGAGCAACGAAGACGAGAAGCTAAAATATGAGGAGAGCGAGGGTGGTGACGAAAAAATGAAAAGTAGGAATCACAGAGCACAAGGCAACATGTATGATCATCAAAAAGGGCGTTTATATGATAACACGGACACGCACACCTGTATTTATCCATGTATGTACTTTGGCAACTTCTCGTTCTTTCCTGTCACCTTCTATTGGTCTCCAACTTCCCACGGCACCGGAGGCAACCCAAGCAACCACTCTGTCAATGTCGCCTTCAAGCGTGGCGCACTTGCACTTGGGTTACCTCAAATCGGGGCATCTCGGAGCCAGGGATTCCGAAGATGTCCCAGGCGAAACGGGCATGAGTACCTCGCGGACCACGTCTTGGAACCCAGAATTGTGATAATGCTTCAAGCGAATCAGAGCATCTCGCAATAGGCCAGGGTTCGGAGGATGTCTCAGGCGAAACGGGCCTGAGTACCTCGCGAACCACATCTTGGAATCCAGAGTTGTGAGGATGTCTCAAAAGCGAAACGTGCCAGGGCACCTCGCGAGCCGCATCATGGAATCCAGAAGCGTTTGCTGCGAGGATGTCTCAAGCCAAGCGGGCCAGAGAACATCATCAAGTCAGGGCACTTCGAAGCCCGGGGTTTCTGATGATGTCTCAGGCGAAACGGGCCTGACCACCTCGTCAACCGCATCTTCAACCCAGAATTGCGAGGACGTCTTAGGCCAAACGGTCAGAACCACGGATTCCGCTGATGTCTCAAGTGGAACGTGCACAAGTACCTCGCGAACCACATCTTGGAACCCAGAACTGTGATGATGTCTCAGGCGAAACGGGCCACATCACTTCAATTCAGGGAATCTCGAAGCCTGGGGTTCCGAAGATGTTCCAGGCGAACAGCGTAATGAAGATGTCTCAGGTGAAACGAGACTGAGCATATCAAGTCAAGGCATCTCGGAACCTAGGTGTCCGATTATGTCTCAAGCGAAACAGGCCTGAGCACCTCGTGAACTGCATCTTCAACCCAGAGTTGCGAGGATGTCTCAGGCCAAACGGTCAAAACCACGGATTCCGAGGGTGTCTCAGGCGAAACGTGCCCGAGTCCCTCGCGAACCACACCTTGGAACCCAGAATTGTGAGGATGCCTCGGGCGAAACGGGCCACAGCACTTCAACTCAGGGCATGGAGCCCGAGGTTCCGAAGATTCCTCGCTCTGGGCCATGGGGCGCACCCAGCTCTTTTGAGGGCAACCCCTCCCCGGCACCGCCCAAGCACCGCGGTTGGGGTTGCCCGAGTCTGTCCCGGGCGACCCGGGCACGGGGGCTCATGTGCACTGCCCCACTGGCCAGCCAAGGCAAGCCCTGGATGGGGCCCAAAACAGCCCCAAAAGCCAACCGACGTGGACAGCGAGGGCCATACGGCTCCAAAACTTTTTTGATTCGCCGGTCGAGAGCGCACCTCTTCCGGTCGAAGCTAAGCGGGCCGCGCGAAGCTTGAACGGCTCCAAAACACACCTCCACCCCGTAAAACGAACGGACCCTTCGAGACATCCCCAAAATCTGAGCGCGAACGGGCCCGTGACACCCGCATGACCAGGCACGATCGAGCCGCGTCCAGCCCTGGCGACGAGAAGTGTCCCGAGAGCATTGAAAACAAGAGTACTTGTCTGACAGCAATGCGAGCATGATCCTTCCTCCCCTCGTCCTCAGTCATCCTGCTACTCCTCCTCCCCCTCCTCCTTCGCGTCGCACTCCTCAACGGTTGCTCGGAATTCCGGGGACGCCTCATACGAAACTGGCTGGACCCCCTTCACACGCCGCATCTCTTTGCCCACAATTGCGGGGACGTCTCATGCAAAACAGACAGCCCCTGCTGACCCTGTTGCAAGACGGCAGGCATGACGACTGTCACAATGAGATCTTTCGGGCAGCATGCCTGGACAGCTTCACACAGGCAGCGAGGGGGGGCAGCGGGGGCAACTACAGGGGGCAGCAGGCCCCCGATGTCCGAGGTCCAGGCTGCGCCAACGGGCGTCAGGCAAAGTGTGTATGTATACTTGTACACATATGAATGAAAAGGAAACATATTGTGAGAAAGAGAGACATCTATATATAGAGCAAGAGAGAGAGAGAGAGAGACACAGACCCTCATCCCCCTCCTCGCGCCTCTTTCCCCCCCTTCCTCTAGGAATCCTTCACCTCCTCCTCCTCCACCACCTCCGCCCCGTCCAATTTTCTCGTCCCCTCGTTTCAAAAATTGGCCCGCCACCTTCGTCTCCATCCCTCTCCTGACCCACATCTTCCTCCTCCGCCGTCCTCACCCTCCCGTTTCTTCCAAATCCTCATGGATCCTCCTCGTCCGCCGTCCTCCTTCCTCGTTCTTGCTCTCCCTCATCCCACATCCCTCGCCCTCCTCCTTCTCCTCCTCCTCCTCCTCCTCCACCTCCTCCGTCCTCCTTGTCCTCTCCTTTCGAAGGTTCCCGCCCCTTTCCTCCCTCTTCCTCCCCACCCCACCCCCGTCCCTCAGAGCCACTCAGAGCGCCCCAGAAAACCTGCAAGTCCTCCTCTCTCCTCCTCCCTCGTTTTGCCTCCTCCTCCTCCTCCTCCTCCTCCTCTCTCCTCCTCCTCCTTCTCTTGCTCCTCCTCCTCCTCTCCCCTCTCCCTCCTCCTCCTTCTCTTGCTCCTCCTCCTGCCCACCCCCACCGCCACCCTCCTCCCTCTGCCACCTTCTCGTCCTCCTTCTCCTCCTCCTCTTCCTTCCCTCCTCTTTCTTCCCTCACCGCCATTGTCGACCCCTATCCCAGGCCTCGTGGTGCATTCGACTCGACCAGAAATTTGGGGCCCAACCCTGGGATATCAGATTGGGGGCGTCCAGCTTGGACGTGGGTGCGTACGAATCGCCCCCTCGGGGTGCATCCCAGGGCTTCCACCCTTCTTCTAAGCGGCCAACCTTTTCGGGCGGAGCCCCGGGATGTGGGGGAGAACCATCTCGGCGGTGGACAAACCTCCCTTTAGTAGACCTCCCCTTAGGGAAAACGGCCTGGGACCGAATTCGACGGACCTGGACCCGCAAAAATATGACGGCCGCGACGCCCCCTCGCGAACCGAAAACTGCCAATTCCTTAATCGACGTGTCAGGGTAGGAGGTCTGTCCTACCCCGACTCCTCCCTGTCCGTCGAGCGGGCGGCCTGCTCCCGCGACTTCTTGCCCCGGTGCACTGCCTGGATCCTGGTGGCCGCGGCCTGCTCCTCGAGGGCGGGCGGGGGCGTCGACCAAGGAGGCGCGGCGGGAGGGGAAGGGGGCTCCGGGAGTCTGACTTCAGGGCAGTTTTTAATACATAGGATTTGAAACATATAGTATTTTTAACATAAGATTAATCTATGAATGAATGTATGCATGAACTCGTCGTTGTTTAAGTACTACACCATGCATTTTCAGTACATGATCCGCACGCAGAGCATGTATTAAAAACGGCACTGTACCTGCGGTAGGTGGAAGCAATTATTCTTAGGTGACGCTCCCCCGCTCCCCCAAATTCAAAGTTGGCGCGCGCGGGGAAGCCTGCGGTCAAAGTGCAGCTGGTTCAACCCACCGCCAGCATTGATCATTGGAGGGGGGGGCATTGACAGATGAATGCGGCATGAGTGTTCGCTAATTTCTTCCGAGGCCTGTACCAAATCACCCTAAACTAACCCGAAGACCCAATATCGGGTTGGTGGGGGTACGGGTTCGCCATGTGTTGTTGTCGATGCTCTCCGACACCCCCTTCTTGGAATGGAGGGCATAGTCTGGCCTTCCACTTTGGTGGGTGTGGTTTGGTGGGTGGGGATTGTCGCCGGTCGCCCTGTAACTATGGTGCGGCATGTGCCCCTGTCGGTGGTTGAGAAATGAGGCCTGAGGCGTGTAGAGATCAGAGAGTCCACCCTCAAAAAAGGCACCCTGACAAGCGAAGCCGTCTGGTAGACGCATCCAGGGGAGGAGCCGAACAGGGCAGGGCTGTTTCGTAGGCGCCCAGAGCCGTGAAGGAAACGCCACTTATCCTGGCCATCGCTCGGACGTCCATTCCCTGTGTTTTTTTCGGTTTCGTGCGTGGTTTTTCGCCAGATGATCAAGGATGCTCCTCGATGGTCCTCGCCGAAGGAAAAATGCACACGTCCGAGCGATGCCAGGTTATCGGGGTCGGAGTGGATGTTCCTCTCTTGAGAACGGAGGCCCGAGGGTCAGGAGAGACCCAGGGGCGGATGCACGTTGCCCGAGGCGCCTCGTCCATTTCGACCCCACCCCTCAGGGCCCCATCCCCGAAGCGCCGACCCGGGCCCCGCGGGGTCGCGGCGCAAGGCTCTGCCGTCTGGGGCAGCTCTCTGAAGGGGAACTGGGACACACAAAGAAATACACACAAATAAAAAGATTCCCCATGTCTTCCCATATTTTCTGGGCCTTTGTCTTCCCCCCCACTTCCCATATTTTCCCATTTTCTGGGAATCGCCGATTAATTGTGTCTGTGTGGTTTTTTCCCCTCCTGACTCTCGCCAGGCTGCCGCGGCGGACCGCTGGTGGGCACGGGGCGGGGAGCAGGAGGCTGGGGAAGACTAGAGGGCGACGGGGGAGGCAGAGCAGAAGAGGAGGAGGCAGAGCAGAAGGGGAAGTGGAAGGAGGAGAAGGAGAAGAAGAAGCAAAGAAGGAGGAGCAGGAGGAGGAGGAGGAGGAGGAGGAGAGAAACGAGGAGACGTCTCGATACGCCGTAGGCGAATCTACTTGGTCACCTTCTGCTTCGAAATGCTTATCGGCTCCAAAGCCAGTGCGCCGCCCCTGTCGGTGGCATGTGCCCCTGCCGGTTGTTCAGAGATGAAGCCTGAGGGCTGCAGAGATCATAGGCACCCCGGAGCAGGAGGTTGGGGGTAGACGAGGAGGATGAGGGGGGAGGGGGGGCGTGCGCCGAAGAGCGCTCCAGAGTACGGCCCTGGAAGGGCACGGTGGGGCGCTTCGGCGCTGAAGGGAGGGGCCCCTTCTTCGATACGACCTCGACGCGGTCCTTCCACCTCTCGCGCTGGTCTTCTGCGCACCGCTCGAGGAGGCGTGGTCCGGACAGCTGAGGAGTGTGCATCGGGGGGTAATGGTGCCTCCATATCCCACGGCCAACCGATCCGGGCTTGCACTTTAAACGATGAGAGGGCGTGCATGAATACTTGAAGATGCCTCGCCCGAGGGAGGTGGTGGGGCATCAGCATGCACATCACGCTGACCATAACTTGTGGCTCTGGTCATGCCTCATCGCGCAACACCCAGACTTGACGCGAAGCACGAAGCAGAAACAAATTCGCTGGCCCAACGGGCCAGAGGCGTGCTAAGATCTCCGGGAACATCTATACAATATTTCTACTCCGCGCGCGCGGGGCGGCCCCTGGGGGTCCCCAGACCAAAAGTACCCCGGGCGCAGCCCAGGCGCGGCCCGGGACTCCCCCAGGGCTCTCAGGATCGCCCCAAGAGGGCCCCAAGCGGCACCCAACACGGTCCAAGAGAGGGCTGAGACGCCCGAAGATCGCTCCACGACGCCCAAGCTGGCATTCAGACAGCCCAAGGGGCCTCCAACATGACCCTAGAGGCCTCCAAGATGTCCCAAGAGGCTTCCAGGAGCACTCCCAAGAGAACCCACAGAAGCAAAATTCATTGCTTCCCCTTAGGTTTTGGACAGATTTGGGCGTTTCCACCTTTTCGGCTTCCCGACGCACCTAGACGGTTCAAGAGGCCCCCAAGATCGCCCCAAGACGGCTCCAAGACGGCCCAAGAAGCCCCCAAGACGACCCAAGAGGGCCCCAAGAATGCCTCAAGAGGGGCCCCAGAAAGGGAACACGAACCAAAATCTCGAACTCTCGGCCCTCAGAGGCCCCCAGGAAGCCTCAAGAGGCCCCCAAGAGGCCCCAAGAGGCCCCCAAGACGCCCCCAAGACGCTCCAGGAAGTCCCCAAGAGGCTCCCTAGAGGCCCCCAAGCGCCCTCAGGAGGCACCCCAAATGCCCCCCAAGCTCTCAACCAGCCAGCGATCCTCCTCCTCCACCTCCTCCTCCTCCTCCTCCTCCTCCTCCTCCTCCTCATCATCCTCCCTCCTCCCTCGTCCTCGTCATTCCTCCTCCCTCTTGAGCCTCCGGGGCCCCCAAAACAGCCCCCAAGAGACTCCAAGAGGCTTCAACACTGCCTCCAAGAGACTCCAGAAACGCCTGCCAAGAAAACCCCACCAACGCCGCATTGACAACGATCCCTCGGGCAAACAGCAGAGATGAGGCTACATGGGTCGGCGGCAAGAGCGAAACGATAAGATAACCATAACTGGACGTGCCAATGCGTGTCAGTCCCAAACCACAAACATACATGAGATCAACATGCCCACCAACGCATGATACATGAGAGCAAGAGATGAATGACGTACAACCACACCAAATCAACATTCTGAACAACGTCCACGGGCAATGTTGATCGAAGCAATGTATGCCCGTGCTGTCCAAGGATTGGGGGCGCGAGGAGGCCCTGTCGCATCTCTGGCAAACCAACGCCATGCCATGTCCGCCGCAACCAAGCGCGCAACCGCGCGGCATTGGGTGGCCACGACATCCGCGATCATTTGCTCAATGCTCAAAGCTGCCTCTCACCCCCTCTCCTTTCGAGCCATGCGACGGCCCCCGGGAACGACATCCGCGGGGCTGGGTCAGGGGCTGCGGCTCGCAGGCCAGAGAGAGTTCAGGCGACTCAGAACGAGGCGCGGCCCGGTCCGATGCCTCTCGGAGGCAGGCTGCGAGCAGTAGGAAGCCTCCCCCCTCCTCCCTCCCCCTTGCCTCTCGCTCCCCGCTAGCCCGCCCTCCCGTCTCCTCCCTCCCCCCTTCGCTCCCCGCATCCCCGCCCTCTCCTCCGCCCCCCCTGCCTTCGTTCCCTTCACCCGGCCCTCCCGCTCCCCGCCCTCCCGCCTCCTCCCCTGGCCGAAACTGGAGCCGCTCCCCGCAAAAGGTCCTTGAGGGCCTGCACCCCGCGGGCGCCGGGGCCGTAGGCGGAGTCTGGGTGTCGGAAGCACATGGTCTGGTACTCGCCTGGCGTGACGAGCAAGCAACACACACCCACACCGATAGGGGGGTCGTGGAGAAGAGGACTGGCTATGGGTATGGGTGCGGATTGTCGGACCCTGACGCTCCCGTTCGAGCGGGGACCCCCATGCGACAACACGCACCCATAGCCCTCTCCGACCCCCCTGTGGATATGGGCGTGTGTGCTGTTGGTTCGTCATGGCGGGGGGCTGGCCATCGATCGGATCGGACGTCCAATCTCTGTGTTTTTTCGGTTTCGTGCGTGGTTTTTTGGGCAAATGATCAAGGATGCTCCTCGATGGCCCTCGCCGAAGGAAAAATGCACACGTCCGAGCGATGCCAAGGGGAGGGGGAGCGGAACACAGGGAGAGCAGAGCAGCCACCCTCCCAGCACACGTCGGTCGGAAGACATAGGTAAGAGCATGAAGTATGAAGGCGGATGAAGTGGATTGTGTCCAGGCCCCCCCAGAGAATAACAACACGCAGCAAAAGCGTGTCGATTCTCGAAGTAGGAAGGCGCTTGAAGGAGATTGGTATCTGGGAATCCAAGAATGCCTGCTTTCAACACGCGAAGCCAGCTGGTAGAAGCGCACCTCGAGAAGGAGTCGAGCGGGGCAGAGCTGCGCAGTAGACGCCCATGGTCGTGCAAGAAACGCCGACTGTCGAGTCCGGATGGTGTTCCTCCCTTGAGCGCACAATGAGCGGGGAAGACCCGAGGAGGATACGGGAACAAAAAAATAACAATAACATAAAAACTCGGAGGTCCGCGCGGATTTCTCGGATCGGCGCTGGGGCCCCCCGGCGGCGCCTCTGGCGCCGCCCCTGGCGCGCTCCGCGCGCCAGGGGGGGGGGGGGGGTCCAGCGCCGATCCGAGAAATCCGCGCGGACCTCCGAGTTTTTATGTTTATGTCACTTTTTGTGCCCCTAGCGAGGGAGGAAGTGAATGGGGGGGGGGATCAAAAGGATTCGGATTCGGATTCGGAACGATTGCGAAGCAATAAAAGTCTGACTACTTGGGGGGAAGTCCCCTCTCGAATCTGGAGAGGTATTCCCTCCGCTTCCTGGTGATCTTCGAAGGGAGGCAAGTGGACGAAAGCCCTCGAAGCTGCTCAGCTCCGAAGTAGCCACAAGCTCGACATATCCAAACCTTCGACACTTCATGATAACACATGGCATGACTGCTGTGCACCCATCCCCCTGCCAGATGGATCTGTACCCCCACGGGGGGCTGCAGAAGACCCCGAGACAAGGACAAGAGAGGATGACAGGAGGTGGAAAGCCAGCGCGTGCGCCCCGCCTTCGCGCACGAGTTGCGACACCTCGTGCACTTCAAGCCGTTGCCGTCCACTGCATGCCCAGAGCAGAAGAGGGCGACAGCAGCGGGGTTGGGCGGGGGAGGGGGAGGCGGAGGGGGAGGAATAGGAGGGACAAAGTCAGCGGCGGCGGCATCAGCAGCGGACCTCATTCTTTCAGTCTTCCGCAAAGCCTGATCAGCGTTGATGGCCTGCAGTGTGGACCTCATAAGACGCTTCCGAACCAAAGCCGCCTTCCGCTCGACCTGAAGGACACGAAAACGAGACTGCTCAGACACACGGAACCTCTTCGCCGTGTGACCCGCCAGCTCATCAGCGAAAATATTCCCCGCCACCATCCATTTGGGATACTTCTTTTCAAACATCTGCTGAGGCGAGAGGTGCGACGATATCTGAAGGACGGCAATCTTCTCAGGTGATCTGTGCTTGAGCAGAACACCCACTTCCCTCCAAAGATTGGCCAACTCCCCCTGCGGCGACTCCCAACGACGCTGCCGCCAACCCCGCACCACTTCCTCGTTGTCTGAAACGAAAACAAGGTGCTCGTCGGTATATCGCAAAGCGATCAGGAATGCCAGAAGCTCCCCACGAGGTACTGTCTGAGATCTGCCAGGAAGCGGACCTGCAATAGACTGCTCACAGAGGAACGGAACGAACTGATTGACGACCACAATGGCGAGTCCGACACGACGAAATCTGGGATCTCTGGCGTCGGGACCTCCAGAGGCGTCGCCACAAATGACCATAGGTTCTTGAGGGGTCCCAGTCCCAAGACAACCAGCAATGAGAGGCCCATTAAACCCAGTAGTGAACCAGCGCTCGGACTCCACGGGGGGGGCTCCACTAAGGTCCACTTACGGGGAATGAGGCCTCGGTGCCAGAAGCATGCTTCATGTTCTTGATGGGCTAGGGCCTCCATGAGGAACTCACTAGACTGCTCGTAAACAGGGTGCCCACAGTTGGCCTCGCATGTCCAGTGTCTGTGTACAGGAGTCTCTGGAGCTTGACGACATCTAGGGCACAGCGGGTCCACGGGGATGCCAGCTGCTTCCTTCCGAGAAGAAATCCAAGAGCCTCCAGCTGCAATACTCAAGAGCAACTCCGATAACTGCCTGCCGTGCACTGCTTCCTGAAGCTGCGCCAAAAGCATGCGCAAGCTGTAGTTGTCGGCGCCGCCCTCCAGGCCAGCGCCGTTGTAGTGATGACTGGCTTGTGACCATTGCTGCGCTTGCAAACTGCTCCTGAAATCCTCAATCAAACCTCTTGCCTGATCCATGCCAACAAGCTGCTCAGAGTGAAAGTTCCAGGAAAAATCAGGGATGCCGTCGCCATCACTACATGGACCGTGCCATCGATCAGGCTGCTCAGGATCCCAGCCTAGCAAGAGCAACTGGTGCACCAAAGCCGAGAGCGGACCACGAATGTGCTTCGTGCGATGCTCGGGAGAAATACCTCGCAACTGGTTTAGCACCAACGGCCAGGCCTGAATGATGCCAGCACGAAACTGTGGCGAATGAATCCATACCTGCATCCACTGCTGCAGCTGCAATATGGGTAGTCGAATGCCTGGGTCCATGCCTGGCGTACGCAGATCAAGAACCGTCGTGAGGCATCGGCCCCTCTTGTTACAGCCGGCGACGGCAGCAAGACGACGACGAGCATTCAAGAGATGAGCCCCAAAGACCCCGTAAGCCTGAGCACCATAAAAAGCACCAGCCTGAGGTCCTGCAAGCTCCACGCGTTTCGTAACTTGATACCTTTTCGAAGCTCGTGCGAGACGACGAAGCTTATGATTTTGTTGGACCGACTTGACGACTCGTTGCCTCCGAACTGCTCTAGCCTGCCGTTTACCCATCCCAGTGTCGACGCCGAGGTAGGAGGTCTGCAAGACAGGAGAGATGAGAATGCCACGAGCCTTCATACGCTTGGCCACAGACTTCGCCGCGGCATGATCCGAGCAGAGAACCACGCTCTTGTCAGCGAGTGCTAGCCCTTCCTTGTTAAACATGATATTGGCATCTTCAACGCTGCTGACCAACTCCTCCTCCACCCTTCTCCTGGATCCCGAAAGAGACAAGTACAAATCATCCACCCAAATGCGCTCACCCATCCCCACATGCATGGTCTGTAGCTTCTCTAAAACGAAGAAGGTGAGGCAGCGAGCGAAACGAGTGCCGTCCCGTGAGCCTTGGATGATGCTTTGGGTAGGTTGAAAGCCCAAGGAGTGCGAACCCAGTTGAGAGAGGACGCGAGGAGCCACACAGAGTTGCAGCTGCAAAAATAACAGAACTGGCGGATACCCAAGCTTGAGAGCAGCACAAACCAGGTTCCTGAAACGAATGTTGTCATAGAAACTCTTAATGTCTAGTAAAGCGGCCCCATACGTCCCACCAAGCTTGTGCGTGACCTCCGCATCTAAGATTTTGAGGAAAGCCTCGAGGAGGGGAGAGTTACCTGTGACGGCAGCATCCCAATCATAATCGACGGACCTGGACCATTCCTTGGAAATCTCACCCCTGGAGAGGCTCCAAAGCCTGGTGACCATGGCCATGAGGCCGATCACACGGTCGCCCGACGATTTGTTGGGAAGCAGCCGCCCGAGAACAACGAGAAGTTGCCACGGCCAGGTACATGTAGCCTCAATGGTCTCGAAGATGCCAGCGAGCTCGTCTAACGCACCATCTGGCAGCCTTTCGAAGTCCAGGGGTGTCAAACGGTCGATGCCAAGGCCAGCTCTCGATTTCATCCGACGGGCGGTTTTCCGAAGATCACCGGCACTGAGGGTGGGCAGTTGCTCGACCCTGGCAGCTCCCCTAGCGATACTGAAAACCTCCTCAAGCTCCTGGGGATCGTACCTGTCGGGGGCCCACAAAGACTGATACTGCTTTACCTTGGCATCTACTATGTCGACGGGATGAAACAAGCGCGCGCCGCGGGACGACGCGTAATTAACGATGCACCGCGCCGAGAGAAGACTCCTGCACGATCCAGTCCTGAAGAAATCGAATGGAAGCCTGTACTGCACGCCGTCGTGCTCTCTGCGCGACTTTGTCAGACTGGGCTTGCAGGTTGTCCAAAAGATGCATGCTGAGAGCGTCTATACTGCTAATGCGATGTAACCAATGTTCCCACGTGTAATGCTTACGACCTGGAATCAAAACAGCGCTAACCCCTTCTGGAACATCCTGCGAGAGCGTCCTGGCTACCTCGGCCAGCTCCACTATCTGCTTGCTGCCGTTGTTCCTACTTCTGTGGCGGTGGCAAGAGAGCAGCACGGTGTGAAGACGAGACCACCAAGTAGCAACCTGATCTGCAAACGGAACCTCCCGCAAGTGTACAGCTTTATGTACTAGGTGAACCACGAACGAAGGGCTGTCCGCACGAGATACCCCACGACTAGAGCTGTCTGTACCTGATAACTCCCCGTGATGATCCAGAATGGTGCCTTCAAGAGCTCTGACCCAGCTGCTATAGAGACCACTGACTTGCATAATATGAGGACCTCCCACTGCAAAGGCACATGACGACGACACGACGGGCCAGACGTCGTCGATGCTCTGCTTGGTGAACCCCACGCGGACCAATGCAAATCCCAAGTGGCCTGAGGTATGCTGAAGGAAGGCTGCTCTGAGAAAGCTATTGGGCCTAGGGGGTCCTCTACAGCCTCTTTAACATCGCGGGTATCTGGGTTGGGGGGGCGCATTATTTATATCATCGGACATCTGAACGATATCGGCGGCCCAAGGGTCGGGTTCTTCGTCCCATTCCCTGGCGCCTCGGCATTCAAAGGGGTCCTCGGGCTCCTCGGGGGCTTCCTGAGGCCTCAGGCTGACTGTCCTCAGGAGCCCGACATAAATCACCAAAAAATATATCACGCGCTTCTCTGAATTTAGCTTGAAACGCCGTGCGTCTCTCATGCTTAGTTCTCTTGTTTTGCTGCGATTTGGAGCCGGCCTTCGGGGTCTGACTTGGACGCGGAACTTGCGGAAGCTTCCGAGGTAAAACTAATGATCTAGTCAGCAGTTGGAGGCCTTCGCCTCGCAACTTCAAGTTCAGACCAATGTGTGTCCCCCACGGGACGGCCAGGACGGCCGTGAGACTGAGGACGTAGGGGCACGCAGACCGAGAGGCGAGAAGGTAGTCAATGTGAGAGCTTCCTGTGCCAGTAGTGCACGTAAATTGAGCATCCGAAGTAAAAACGACCCCGCCGACCTTATCTATAAATCCGCAGCGAGCCAAATCTTGCGGGCTCATGTTGAAGTCCCCTATAATGAGCCAAGGGAGCTGTAAAGAGGCTACAAGGGCACCCACCCGAGACAGCCTACGAGCATTGGCCCCGTGGAACCCCAACGAGGAGACCCCGTAGTAGACAATGACGACTATAGTATACCCACTAAAACTCACAAGCACTGGCAAGAATCCGTCGTTCGTAGGATCCTTCCTCGCACAGCTCGGGATAATCACTGGGATTGCCGAATGAACGAACCTGCCGATGACCTGGAGCCAAAAACATTTCACCACCCTCGCCCTTGGCCTTATCACTATCGATCGAGCCAGGGCGAGCGGCACTCAAGAAGGATTTAAACTTAGCTGAACGGAACTTACCCTGCCATTCAACGTGCTGCTTCTGAAACAAGTGAGTTTCGGCAATGGCAAAGTGCTGATACTGAGACCGAGTCGAAGACGAGGCAACGAAATCCCAAGCTTTCGCGCCCCACTGTGAGACATTGCCAAACAAAACTGAACTGCTGGCCTCGGACTCTGGCTCATCTACCCCAGCCCCTTCCACAGAAGGAGGCTCATTAGACGACCCTGAACCCGAAGAGGTAGTAGCCTGCGTTGTAGCTGAAGTGGCGCCACCGTCGGCGGCCGCAGGCGAGCCGCCGCGCGCCCCAGCTCAGGCAGAGACGCCTGACACCGCAGCCTCCTGCTGCCTCTTGGCCATCTCTGCTGCTGCAAACTTGGCCTCCGAGATGAGCTTGGCAGACTGCTGCAGCTCCTCGTCACTCGGAGCAGCGGGCGTCGCTGCGCTGGCGGACGCCGCTCCAGCAGCCGCGGCCGTGTCGGCGCCAGGCGCCACGGCAGGCGCAGCGTCACCGGTGGCCCCAGGGGCCTGCTGCTGCTCCACCATCTTCCTTTTCTTGGCCGTCCGCTCGGCCACCGCCTTCTTGAGCGGCTCAATGCGATTCTTCCATTCCGTGACCTTCGTGCCGCGCTCGTCCAGGATGGTTTGCGCCTGAACGAGTTCTTGCTCGAGGGCCTTCAGCTCGGTCTTCTCCGATTCCTCGCGCTCGTACTGGTCGAGGTTCTTGAAGAAGTCCTCATCCCACTGCAGCTGGAACATGGCCCCGCCTGCGCCACCGCCATCCTTGGTGGGCGAGGTGGCGGCTGCAGCATCCGAGGTGAGCAGACCTGACTCCTTGGCGAGGGTAGTGATGGCGAGCTTCTTAGCTGCCTCGGCCTTTGCAAGGACCAAAGCAGCATCTGCTTCCTTGGATTCTGCACGTTGGAGATTCTCGCGCAACTTCATGACCTGCGCGATGGCTTGATCATGCTTTGCCTGTGCGTCCCTCAGCGCGCTGTCAGCGCGCTTGACTGCGTCCTCTGAGCTGATCGGCTTGGCGGCCACCGACGGGGTTGCACGAACCTCAGCCAACTGCTCGAGAAGAACCTTCTTCGTGGTCAAGTCTTTGGCCTCGCTGAGTAATTTGGTGAGTAACCGCTCGACTTCGGCTGGGCTCGAAGTAGACGGTGTAGACTTGAGGCCCGCACCTGTGCCCTTGCCGTCGCCCTTGCCGATGTCAACAGCGCCATTCACGAGAACCAAAGCATTGTTCTGAAAATATGTAGGGGCATCTTTGCGAGGTTTGGGTTTGTACATCTTGACGGGTCTGTGGCACTTCACGCACTTGTTGCCGTTCTCTTGCAAAACGTCACTGTATTCATGACGGTGACAGGAATTGCATGTGCTCCACTGCCTCGTAGCCATCGATCTCGCCCTGCTTTCGCTGACGGAAGCTGCTATCCTCGCCGAGCGCTGGCCCGACAGAAAGGCAGGTCCGAAACCCCTCAAGCACCACTTGGCGGCGCAGGGCTGGCAGAGTAGGTGAACACAAAATGTGGTAGGGTGTGCAGAGGAAAGACCCCCAAGACCCCCCTCACCCGCTCGTGCCAGAGTTGCTTGAGGGGGGGGATCAAAAGGAAAATGAGCGAGAAACAGGGGGGATGAGGAGGCAGAGGAGGGGAGCGGGGTCTCAGTGCTGACGATGATTGCTCGGCTACCAAAGCCATGCGGCCACGGACAGGATGGAGTCTTAACGTGTCGCTACATGCTAGCATCCCATAGGTGCCGACCCTGGTCTGGGTTGGATGCGCGAAGTGCCTGGCAATTATGCCAAGAAGGTACGCCTCGCGTCCAGCTATGGTGATCCGAGTCTGCCCCCAAAATGTTTCTACACGCGTAACCAAGAGCTTGAAGATAGGCCCGTAATATGTTGTTGACGCTTGGTAGCACGAGTGGGTGTCACACGTAAAACACCGCGCCCCCCAAAAAGGCCTCATGCCGCATTCGTTGCGGTATGGACTGGCCTGAACGGCCTGCGCACTGCTCAATCACTCGGGAGTTAGTCGCGATCATCATGTCACTGCGCGCGTACGCCACCATACACATGCGTGCTCATCCTGGAGTGAACGGGCTTTGAGTCGCTGGCCCTCCATGGGGGACACCCAAAATGGAGAACAACAAACACACACACGAAACAATACGGATCCTGATGCCAAAAGCGGGGTCGACGTTGGAGTCCCGAAACAGTGCGGTGACAGACCGCGCGGTGACCTCGAACCCCCCCAAGACCTCACCGCACAGTCCGTCAGCGCACGGTCTTGGGACCTCGGAGGCCCCAGCCGCCCGAGACGTCCTCGGAGGACGGCGCGAGTCCCAAAACCGTGCGGTGGCCCCATATCCCCACCGGCTCACCGCACGGTGTGGTCACCACCCCGTTTGGTGGGGGGCCCCCGGTCGACCCGAAATGTGCTGTGTGCGGGACCCGGATCTCGACCTTGTTGAAACCTGCTGCGGGACCCAGATTCTGCTGTTTCATGCCTGCCCAATCCAGCATTCCCGCTGAGAAAGAATGGGCGGAAGGAGGAGAGGGAGCAGCAGTAACCATGCAGACGCCCATGCTCCAACCAACAACACAAACCACTTCACGCTACTATGGCATGCTTCCATCCTGGTGCATCCCCACGCCTTGTGGGGGTATTAGTTCCACAAAAGGTTTGGTATTCCCTAGCCCATTTTGATCACCTGCCCGATGAGATCCTGATAATACCTCGTCCGAGGTACGTTACCACTCCCAGCTAATGTGATAAAAATAAGCGTCGCAAGCATGTCAGCAGAAAGCCTGGAACCATGGTGTCGTAGCTTCGGGGAGAGGCCTCGGAACCTCTTGGAAAATCCTCATGTCATCTGGGCGAAGCCTCAGAGGGTCTGGGAGAGGTTTCAGAGCTTCTGGAAGAGGCCTCAGAGCGGGTGGATAAGCCCTCAGAGCTGCTACCTCAGGAGCATCTGAGAACAGCCTCCGAGCTCCCTGGAGAATGCCCGAGCTCCTGGGGCAGGCCTCGACTACCTTGGGGGAAGCCTCAGAGCCCCTGGGAGAAGCCTCAAAACATCTGGGAGGGGCCTCACGGAATCAGGCGGGGCCCACAGATATCGTGGGAGGGGGTCCCGATCATGGCACCCGGGAGTGACCTCGGAACCTCTTGGGGAAGGCCTCGGAGCTCCACGAAGACGCCTCTGGAGAGGCCTCCGCGCCTCTGGGAGCAGATCCAGAAGCGCGAAGAACGTGACCGTTGCACGGATCGGACCCCCCTCAGAGTTGGCGCCTGCGCCGACGCGGCAACGTCGACCCTGAGAACAAAACATCAAAACAACGCTATTCTGTTGCAATTTCGGGGAGGGGGGGGGGGGGGGGCAAATCCTGTCGCGCCCCTGGCCGCATCGAATCCGTGTCTAATCCATGTCGGACTCGTCAGATACGTGTCGAATCCGTGTCGATTCTGCGTCGCATCCACGCCAAATCCGCGTCGAGTCCGCATCGAGCCCGCGTCGGGCGCAAACAACAGCATTACATGTGGGGGAAGTGTAGCTGGCGCTGGAGAAAGAGAGATAGAGTAAGCCAGCGCACCATACACATAAACGTTCGACGCTCCGCTCGGATTTCTTGGACCGGCAGTGCATCCTCCTCCTTCTCCTCCTCCTCCTCCTCCTCCTCCTCCTCCTCCTCCTCCCCCTCCTCCTTCGCCTCCTCCTCCTCCTTCTCCTCCTCCTCCTCCTCCTCCTCCAGCCTCCTCCTCCTCCAGGCTCTCGGATCCTCCTGGACTCCCTGACGGTGCGCTCAGAGAGCTGGCGCGGGTGGCGCATCGGGGAGGGGAGGGCGGGCGCGCTGGTGGTGGTGGCGAGCTTGGCTCGCAGCTTCTGCCCAGGCAGCAACTCGACCTCTGGGCGGTGGCACGGGTCCAGGGCGAATGTTACGTTGCATCCTCGAAAAGACCTTTGTCTGTCCCGTCGCAGCCCGATCCGTGTCGAATCCATGTCGGACTCGTCGGATCCGCGTCGAATCCGCGCCGAATCCACGCCAAATCCGCGCCGAGTCCGCATCGAGCCCGCGCTGGGCAACAAAAAACGCCAATTTTGGGGACATGCGAGGTCTCCGGAAGATGCAACGCAACGAGTGTGGAGAGGCCAAACAGGGGGGGGACGAGAAGGGGAAGGCCTTCTCAGAAGGCGGCAGGGCTTCTCAGGTGCCCTCCAGCCTTCTGAAGAGTCTTCTGCGTCTTCGGGGGAGGCCTAGACCACTTCTCAGATGGCTGGGGGGGGTCCGAGCCTTCTGAGAATCGGGTCGGGCGAAAGGGAGGGATAGCAAAGGGGGGGTCTGAGAATCAGCTCACGTAGCTGATTTTCCCGGCGCCTCCCGGCGCCGGGAGGCGCCCATGTATCGAAGAATGGGCCCGGCGGCGGGGCCGAAACCGGCTGCATGCGGCAGATGTCGTACCCCCCCCCGTCCCAATCCCCCCCTTTCGTTCGGCCCGAGATCGGGAGCGGCGCCAAGAGGGGGGTGTCCAAGAGGGGGGGGTGCAAATCATGACCGGCGGCATGTGCGCGGCCCAGCGGGGGGGGCCAGGGACGTAATGAAATAAGAAGAGGCGCCATGAGATCTGGGGAAATATCATGGCCCACGCCATGATATCCACCCCCCCCTAGTCATCACCCCCCTCTTTTCCGTCCCCGACGAGAGAAGGCCCGCACCTCCTCGCCTCCCCCCCCCCCGGGCTCGGCGCCGAAGCGTGGAGAGGCCGGGTGGCGGGGAAGACGGAGGGGAGGAAGGGCGAAGGTGCAGCACGCGGGGGGGCCCAGGGAGAGCGGGCCGCGGGAGGAGCAAGAAGCAGGAGGAAAACGAGGACAACGAGGGGGAAAACGAGGAAAACGAGGAGGAAAACGAGGAGGAAAACAAGGAAAAACGAGGAGGAAAACGAGGAGGGCCAACAGCCGCCGCGGCGGAGCAGGAGGACGAGGAGGGGGCCGTGTAGGATGATAGGCCCCCATCCAGCACCCCGAGAGCTCCCTCCTCCGAGTGGTAAGTCGGGCGTGTCCCCCTACAGGGGGATTTTGGGCGAAACAAAAAATTCAAAAAATATACCCCAAATGCTCAACAATAGTCAAAAAATCGTCCCCAGACTATTTTTTGACTGTTTTTGAATATCCCCCCTGTAGAGGGACAGGCCCGACTTAATCCGAGTGTCCAATACGGCCAGATCTAAGACAAAATAACAGCCTCCAAGAGCACGAGCGCCTCCGACGGCCAGAACACACACGGAACACCCAAACCGTTTCCAGGATGCACAAGAACATCCAGCAATCACGAAGAGCACGAGGGTGCCCTCCCTGAGCTGGCACGGATCTTCTACCTCGGTCCGACCTTATCTACAATCAAAAATGTGGGGCAAAGATGTTACCAATCAACACGGTCAACTAAACGGAAGCGTAGATTCAGTGGCCATATGGTCATACCCCATGCATTTAAGAGATTGCATGGGCCGCATGGATAGATTCGAACGGAATTTCAGAAATTCGAAACGCCATTGAATTCACGCGCCTCTAACAGATCATGACTTCTCCTCTCGTCGATCAACGGGCCAACCGCTGCACAACCGGAAACGCTCAAAACGGGATGGGCAAACACAGGTGGCGAATTAACATTAAAAGACGGCATGGGAATGCGATTGCACACCGCGCGTACAAGCTGACCGACCACCTGTCGGTGCAACCAAGGTGAGCGTCGCTCATGGACGCTTCACGAATCAATGTGGCCCACGCTGGACGATCAAGCCAGCATGAGGACACATACGTTCAGTTTTAGTCGTACGGTAGACTTATACATATACAGAAGAGTAGATATTTATCTCTGGGTGCGTATATGTATTGACTCTATATATATATATGTACGCGTTCCTGGGCCCTCTGATAAATCCCCATCGCTCTCCTCATTCATCATACCCCTCCTGCTCCTTCTCCCCCCGCCTCGTCCTCCTCGAGGCGAACACAACGGACCTGGGTTGACTCCTTCCCTCCCTACCTCTCTAGAACCAGTCCCTGACTGATTCTTCTCTTTTCTCGCCACCCCTTCCCAATCATTTCAACCATCTTGCCGCCCCCAATCCTCCCCCCCGGGCAGGAAACAGAGGGGGGGCAACAAAAGGAAAGGGGTAGAGTGAAGGAGGGGAATAGCATAGCGGGAAATGAGGAACCTGGACAAATTATCCTGGCGAGCGACCCCAACCATATGTGAGTACCGCAGTTGTGAATATTTTCTTCGGTGGAGCTCCCTATGGGGTCACGAAGCGCTGCACTGGGTGGGGAAGGAATGCATGCGGGCGGTAGCACAGGTGCCGTCGGTGGAGCTCCATATGGGGCCACGAAGCGCTGTTCTGGGTGGGGGGGGGCGCATGCGGGCGGTAGCATTGGGGCCGTCGGTGGAGCTCCCGATGGGGCCACGAAGCGCTGCACTGTGTGGGGGGACGCATGCGGGTGGTAGCAAAGGGGCCTTCGGTGGAGCTCCTTATGGGGCCACGAAGCGCTGTCCTGGGTGGGGACGCATGCGGGCGGTAGCACTGGGACCTTCGATGGATCTCCCTATGGGGCCATGAAGCGCTGTAGTAGGTTGGGGCGGCGCATGCGGGCGGTAGCACTGGGGCCTTCGGTGGAGCCCCCTATGGGGCCACGAATCGTTGTACCGGGTTGGGGGCGCGCATGCGGGCGGTAGCACTGCGGCCGTCGGTGGAACTCCCTATGGCGCCACGAGACGCTGTACCGGTTGGGGGGGGCGCATGCGGGCGGTAGCACTGGGACGAAGCGCTGTATTGGGTGAGGGGGACGCGTGCGGGCGGTAGCACTGGGGCCGTCGGCCGAGCTTCCTATGGGGCCACGAAGCGCTGTGCTGGGTGGGGGGGGGACGCGTGCGGGCGGTAGAACTGGGACCTTCGGTGGAGCTCCCGATGGGGCCACGAAGCGCTGTACTGGGTGGGGGGGGACGCGTGCGGGCGGTAGAACACTGGGTGGGTGAAACGCACGGAGGACGGAGGAGGGGAAGGAGGCGGAAGGAGGAGAACGCGGGGCGCCGTCTCTTCAACACGAGGGCCCAACACCGCAGGATGGTTGGGAAATAAAGGACGAGAACAGAAGAGCAGCGTACCACTGCTTGTAAATTATCCCCTAGGAGGCCCGAAACGCTGTGTTTGCTCGGTCTGCTCGGCACTCCTGGGCACCACATCGACGTCCAACATTGTGTAAACCTTTTTCATCCGCCCCGGAGGAGGAGGCGGAGGAGGAGGAAGAAGAGGAAGAGGAGGATGAGGAGGAGGCAGAGGAGGAGGAGGAGGCAGAGGAGGAGGAGGAGGAGGAGGAGGAGGATGAGAAGGAGAAGGAGGCAGAGGAGGAGGAGGAGGAGGAGGAGGCAGAGGAGGAGAAGGAGGAGGAGGAGGAGGCGGAGGAAGCGGCATGCTTGCTGGCCCTCGCTTCGGGGGGGTGGTCTAAAGAGCGGCGCCGGGCCACCGGCCAACAGCTAGTCCAGACCACGTGCCGGCTGCGCTGCCGAGTATGATTCGGCCAACCCGGCCCTTGACCCGGGGGAGAGAGAGAGAGAGAGAGAGAAGAGGAGGGAGGACACAAAGAGGGGGATGTCCAAGAGGGGGGGTGCAAATCATGGCCGGCGGCATGTGCGCGGAACAGCGGGGGGGCCCAGGGACGTAACGAAATCAGAAGAGGCGCAGTGAAATCTGGGGAACTATCATGGCCCCCCACGCCATGATATCCACCCCCCCTAGGGATGACAAAGGCGATGACAATCTTAGGGATTCGCCTTCAAAAAATAATGGAATCCCTAAGATTGGCACCGTGATGAGGAGGTGCCCAGCACAGGGATAGGGATATGTTCCAGGCTGGTAAAGGGAGGGGGAGGAGAAGGATGAGGAGGAGGAGGAGGAGGAGGAGGAGGAGGAGGAGGAGGAGGGGGAGGGGGAGGAGGAGGGGAGGAGGAGGAGAGGAGGAGGAGGAGGAGGAGGAGGAGGAGGAGGAGGAAGCAAAGAGGAGGAGCAGGAGTGATCAGGGGGGCGGAGCCGCCCGGCGCTCGAGGAGGGAATGCTGGGCGGGAGTCCTGCCCCGGCGCCGGAGCCTGGGAGCGCACGGGGCAGAACCGCAGGGCGGCCCTCCTCCCCCTTCGCATCCCATCTCCTCCCTCCTCCCTCCCTGCTCCCTCCTCCCTCCCTCCCTCCCTCCCTCCTTCTCCCTCCTTCCCCCTCCCTCCTCCCCCCTCTTCCTCCCCCCTCCTCCCTCCTCCTCTTCCTCCGCCCCATCCTCTCCTCCCGTGGGCAGGCCGTTTGTCTCGGACCCCCCTGCGAATTTCGTAGATCTGACTGGGGATTCTCGCAGACGGAGGATGCCACCAAATGGACTAGGACGACCACGTGAATGTCTGGTCGCCAGCGGGGCCAGGCATTCGGCTCCGGCGTCCAGCGCGAGGCTGCAAGCTGTCGATGCGCGCCGCGCCTGGAGGCGGTTGTCGGCGACGAGGCCGACGCACCACATGACGGACCCGTTCGAGAAGGATGTCGCCAGTGGCCATCGTGGGGAGGATATGAAGGCGGTGAAGAAAATCGGGTCTTGGAAGGTCCGGGCTGCGGCTATAGGTCCGCCTTTTTCCTCCTGCTCCTCCTCCTCCTCCTCCTCCTCCTGCCCCTCCTCCTCATTCTCCTCCGCACCCGCCTCTCCCTCAGACCGTTGGTCTTCGAAGCGGTGAAGGACAGGCCATCAGAAGCCAAGAGTCCCAAGAGCCGAAAGGCGAAGGGACGTGCCATCAGAAGGAAGAGTTTTTCAGGGACCGATTAGTAAGAAGTACGCTGCCATCAGGTGCAGATTCAGGTCTACGAGCATGCTACCCACAGGGCTGCCTCACGCTCTGCATTTCAGGAGCACCCATGCAAGTTATAACTCACACGCTGCGAGCAAGTACGTTCCATCTGCGCAGCACCTAAACTGCA